CAGAATTAAAAACCATTTAATAATTAATTAGCTCATGTTTGTAGACATTTTCGGCGGATATTGATTGGAAATTGTGAGCCCTTTTATTTTTAACTTTTTAGGGTTTTCCGGATGGAGACCCATGCCTCAATTGCACCAAAGTGCTCCTTGAAGAGCGGGCTCGGCCCACTAGCCCAGACCGGGATAATAAATTTTAATCCCCTCCGTTTCAAAGTATTTTTCTTATAGGTCAAGTTTCCATCAGATTATGCCACGTATGGATCACTGGTGACTTGACTTTGGGTACTTACGTTCGTTGTGCTAGGCCTACACGTGGCAGAACCTACCATGCATAATCGTCAATGGCGACTGACAGAGAAACAAAATGAGAAAAAACAATTGACCGAATATCCTTATTTTTTATTTTATTTTTTTAATTAAAGACTATCTCATTTAAACCAATTCACCATCATGATGATAATAGGTAAATACCATCCAACTTCATCAATGAGAAACAATCAGGGATGGACCTTAAACATAGACTAACCTAGGCTACAACCCAGGTGGCTGTTTTTTTAGTAGCCCAGCCAATTGAGTAACCTATACCCTCTCAAAGGAATCATTTGGATTGCATGTGGAGAAAAAAACAGAGAAGAAGAAAGCTGCACATCTCTACACATAGGGAAAAAAAGAATGCACAGCCTGTGGAAAAAAAGAAAGAAAAGTAGAAGAAATTGTTTATGACTGTTTCTTAGAGTTGTTGACTTTGTCACCAAACTCATATAGATAATAAATTGATAATGAATTATTTTAATTCTATGAAATTAAAATAATTATGCCCCCCTTATATAGTGTTATTTTAGGAGTAAGACTTATTATGCCCCTCTTAAGTAGGTGTATTATTATTTTTGTTATCAATGAAATTACATCGTGCTGTCGGGTTTTCTATGTACTTAGTATGTTTATATATGTACAGTAAATTTAGCCCAGTTAAATTTGAAATCCTAAATCCGTCCCTAGAAACAATTTTATTTTCCTCTTAAAAAGTTGGTTTTACATATAAAAAAAGTTACAATCGAATTATTTTTTCCTAATATTTTTCTTAATTCTCTTAAACGCATCTCATATATGAAAGAATTGGAAAAAAAAACAAAAAAACTTACAGAAGTTTCACATAAAAAAAGTGCGAACCTGATTTATACGTGGAAGGAGAGAGAGCCTTCCTTTTAAAGCTTTGAACAGATTTTATGTGGAAACACAAGCACCACCTTCCTTCTCTCCCTCTCGCTCTTTTTCCTCTCCTCTGTAACTCTGTTTCCGATTAACAAAAGATGTCCAATAACGAAGAGCCCGTGGAGGAAACAAATGGGGATTCATTTCACATAGTGAAGCAGGGTTTGAAAGATCGATCTAAGGTATGGCCAAATTCGTTTGCTTTTTTGCTTTTTTGCTTTTTTGCTTTTGGTAACACAAATTTGTAATCTTGATTCGTTTTGAATTGTGGGTTGTGTTTATTTTTGGTTTTTCTTGATATGGGAATGCTTGTTTTTTCAGAAAGTGGCTCAAACCAAAGAGATTTTGTCGAAACAAGCGGTTCAGACCAGAGAGATCCTTTCAAAACAGGCTGTTAAGATCGCCAAACAAGCTGAAGAACACGAAAAGTTCATCAATAAGGTAGGTACTTCAGTTTTTATGTAAAATCAATTTGATGTGTTTGATTCTTTGTGATATTGTGTGAAGCGAATGCATTGGGTTTGTTAATGTTTGTGGTAAAACTTATAAGTTATCTTTTTCATGCTTAGGTGACGCATCTTGTGGGGGTCCTCGGGTTTGGTGGCTTTTGCTTCCTCTTAGGAGCAAGTAAAGTTTCCTAATTGATAAGATGGATATTAATAATTGCTCAGTTGAGGAAAAGAACTTCCATTGTGTTTTTATTTCTAAAATTTTCTTTTTAACAGGACCCCAAGATATTCGATATGTATATTGTTTGTTCTATGTAATCTTCGTTCCTCTTCGTTGGATATACTATCGGTTCAAGAAATGGCACTACTATCTTTTGGTAAGTTTTCATTTCTTATAGAGTTCTTTAAAATCTGTTAGTAAATTGTTACTACACTTGGATAACTAGGAAATTGATCGTAGACATTTGAAGATATTTATAATCATATGGGATGTCTTTGCCATCTGCAATACATCTTTGATAGGTGCTGCCAGGATAATGAAAAAACTGATTTGGCTCAAGTTAGTTGGAGCAGAATAGAGTAATTCATTAAGTGTAGCGCAATGGAAGTTTGGTTGCTTCCTATTTGTTATTTTCTCCTTATTGTTCTGTGTGCGTCTTACCTTGACAAAGAAAAATGAGTACCACATAGAAAGTTAGAGATAAGAGAGGAAGTAACTGTTGGTTTGAAGTTAATAATAGTGACCAATTACATGAGTTTAGCCAATTTCCATGATCTAATATATCTAATAGATGATAGATGAATGTTGATCTGCTACTTCTAGTATGCCCAATTGAAAGCTTGGTGGAACTTTTTCAAAAAGTTGGTCTCTTCATCCTCAGTGTCAGTTTTAGTTACACCTCTTTCAGTCAGCATTTTCTAGAAAACCCTCGCATTCTTATGATCCTTCACTTATATATTTTTCACTCTCTATGGAATGATTTAATGATAAAAAATCAAAAAGTGATATGATTGTTTTTATGTCCTAGGACTTTTGCTACTATGCCAATACGATCTTTTTGGTTGACCTCCTTCTTTATCCAAGGAATGAAAAGTTTTTCATGGTTTGCTTCTCATTTGCTGAGGTAAGCAACACATCCTCAGTTACTTTGCTTTGTGATGAAGTAATGATTCACTTGTACAATTGTTGACTGTTTCAAATGCACAAGCAGGGGCCATTAGCATGGGCATTGATTGTTTGGCGTTGTAGCTTGGTGTTTAGTTCTCTTGACAAAATAGTTAGCGTCCTCATACATCTTTTACCTGGTGAGTCAGTCCTCTTCCTTACATTTTGTTTTGAAGTACCCTCGAAACAATTTTGAATTATATATTTTTTTGGGGGACAGTAAATGCAATGGCTTCATATTGGATATTGGGTAAAAATGCCGGGAGCAAAATGTCTGCACATATATGAAATCAGAAAGAGCCTCCCTTGTGGTTTCTTGTGATTTTGTGCGAGATATCATTCCTCGACCATTGTCTCATATAGATTTTAAAACTTTAATGTAGATCCAACCAGATAAGTGGATCACACTTTAGTTATGGTGGACCCTAAGAAAATGTAGATGGCAATAGTCTTAAGCAGGTTTTGGTATTATATATGTCTGAGCTTCTCCCAAAACAGAGGCGAGTTTATGTTGCATAGTCTGTTTTGTTGTCGTATATACACAAACATGCCCCTGACAGAATAGGTTTATTTCAGGGTTAGTTTTCTTCACCATTCGATGGTGGGATCCAGCTACTTTTGCAGCCATGCATCCAGAAGGAACCTCTCGCAGAGCTTCGTGGCCTTATGTAGAAGACAAATCCTACCTTTGGGTGTGGTTGTTTTGGGTGCCCTTGTTTGCTTACACCTTATGGCAGGCTTTGTATTTTCTCATTGTCAATGTTTTACGCAGACAAAGGCTCTTAAGAGATCCTGAAGTCATGACTTCTTACAGGTTCTTTATATCTCTCTCCTCCTTTCCCTTACTTTTTTTTGGTTCTATTCTTTCTTTTCCCCTTTTCTGACTTGATTTTGAACAGGGAACTGTCAAAGAAGGCACAGAAAGCAAACAATGTATGGTGGCGCCTAAGCGGTTTGCTTGGGGATCAAAATCGCTTGCTTATGTTTATTCTGCTTCAAGCCGTCTTTACTGTGGCAACCATGGCGCTCACAGTCCCTATCTTCTTGTCATATGAATTGCATGTAGTTTTCCAAATACTCAAGGTTTCTGCATCTGTATGGAATGGAGGGAGTTTCTTGCTAGAGGTAATGCCTCGGCAAGTGATTCTCAAGGAGAAGAAGAAATTAGAAGTTCAACCAGTGCTAACTGAGCGAGACCAATCAACGGATGATGATGTAGTTACCAATAATTCTGCCGAGGCATCCAGTCCTAACTAACAGCTGTTGAATATTATCCATTTTAGTCATGACAAATTACTCATCTTTTGTTGTTTTCTTAGAACTAGCGTACTTATAGAAGTTTATATTTGTTTTGCAGATCCGTGAGCAATGATTTGTTTATGTACAAATTCACAAAAAATGAATTCAAATGAGTATTACAAACGAACACAAAACAGGTGGTCTATTAAAAATTGGAATTTCCTTCTCAGCTCTCTCCCCCCTTCTTTGGCGCATTTTGTGACCACTGAACATCAACAAAAAAACTCTTTGCTCTCTTTGCTCTTTTTGGTTCTACTAAATTTTTTTCTTGTATTATGCATTCGTTTTGTTTTTCAGACGATATTAGCCTTTTCTAAAAAATAACAAAAATAAGAACCGAAAAGCATTTAAATTCAGTTGATATTTGAGGGGGGAAAAAGTTAAAAACAAATAAAAGTCAAATAACTGTATATTCTATAATGTTGTTAATACACGGGCTTTCCATCTAGTATTTTTCAAAAAAAGAAGAAAAGAAAAGAATATAACACCACTTAATTACAAATTGCTTCCACATACAACAAATGGCCTACAAAATGCATTTTCACTCAAAAACCAGCAGACGACCTTAAACCCAACAAACAAGAAACTACCAGGCGCCAATGCCACAAGTCATCACATAAATTGTGATACGCATGCGGCTTCCTAACAAATACCCTCGTGTTGACAAAACTTGAGGGCAAAGAATGAACTGACCCAAGCCATCAAACCAAGATTGATGGCATGAGCAGATAAAACAAGCACTATACACATGGATGATTACTAACAAAGAAACTGTATGCACAGGTTTCAGCGCATCAATTGATGTGCCATGCGTCCGAGACATAACCATAAAAGATGTGATTTGACGATCGGAGACTATGCTCTTCACTATAACATCATTCGGAGCGGGGGAGTAAGAAGCCAAACCCAGAGTGTTCGCGAATCAATGGTGGAGGTTCGATGTCGGTTATATCTACTTGTTGCATTGACTTGGAGATGTCGTCCACCGAGAATGGTATGCTGCGTGAACATTCATAGAACATAAGAAGAAAATATAACTTTCCGTATGGATAATCAAATATAAAATTCTGACTTCAGTTTGGGGACAACAAATCAGTACCTTGAGTCATCGTCTAATAGGAAAGAGCTGCTTACAGCATTGTTTGAGTCCTCAGTCATCAAAACTCTCATGCTTGAAATAACCTGTGTAAGTTCAAACCAAACTTATTTTCAGAATACCAAAAGCAAGGACGGAGGTCAAAAGTTCAATATTGTATAATGGACCAGAGAGATTAATATTTTTCAGTGTCATTTGAAGTCAACTTACATCTGAAGACACACTGTGTGTACCATATTTGTCATCCCAGTACATTGTACTGATCCTGTACAACTGCTGTATGCTAAGAACCTGATGAAGCCACAAGCATTAACATCAGAAGGAAGCATGCAAGGAAAAGAAATAGGTCCAATATAAAATGAGTGATTCAAAGGAAGAGGCACGAACAGGGCAGAGTTCTTTTGTTATTTCATTCAAGGTCTTCTTCGGTTTCTGATGTATAACCTGATATGTTCATAAATTTTTAAAAAGAAAAGAAGAAAAAAAAATTTCAGTCAGCTAATTCTGCAATACTGATAATCACCATTTATTTGTTGCAATTAAAAGATCATAGACACGAATTTTACTAGGAATCCAACAGCCTGCCTAATATGCTTCAATTCATCCCAAGCTGAGCCTGCATACTGTAGGCAAAAAATATTCCAGGTAAATACATGAAAAAAAATACAGAAAATAAGTTCAGTGTCGCACAGTTCTTACTTCCTCGCTTGCCCCATAGCACCACTGTTCTAATTCAGCCAAACCTGCTTTTACATATTCCCCATTACTGAACGAACAACACTCCCGCCGCAAAAGAAGACTGCAGAAAATGATGGAAATAAATGCCACAAAACCCTTAGACAAAGTGACTTTCTTTACTGAAAAACATGACTAAATAACCAGAGGACAAAAAGGAAGGGGAAAATTTCTTTTGGCGACATAGAGAGGGAGAGGACTGACTAATCTACCTATTGAATAGCTGAACATTGATGAATGAGAATATCTGAGTGAACACCTTGCGGACCAAGAAGGGAGGCACCTGTGGTAAGCCAAACAATATTAAAAGCACTGTTCACTACAAGTATTACAATTTTTAACGCTCAATGAGGAAAACTATATAACTCACATAATTTGCTTTCATTGTCTTCAAGTAACTGTCCAAGCTTTTCACAATGCTTTGCCAATGAGCAATTAAAGCTTGCTGAGCGACAGCATTAGCTTGGGCACGTCCTTTTACTAAACTTGCCCGTGATGTCCTAGGTGCCTGCATAGTACGTAAAACAGAAAGCAATCAAATTTTCCGGTCATTTAAGGAGGCAAACATTGGTAAGTCTGACACACAGAGTATCCACCCTTTTTTCTGTGTCTACCACACAGACGATATGCATGTAAGAGTTACGAGTCATTTCAGGGCAGCAAGGTCCTATATTACTTTTTGGCACTTTCAGGGTCGGGTAGCATACACAATCCCTTTCTTTTTTCATTTCTTATTTAACTTATGACAGGATTCAACAAATACAGTTGAAGAATATAATTTTCTCAGAAACATTTTATGAAAAAAAAGATATTAAGAAGAAGAAGAAAAAACCAAAGTTGAAGTTGCATCATTTCAGAGGATAGACTGTACTTATATAAAATGTTCCTGGACTATTCCAAATAGACTCCTAAAATTCCTTGTTGGAAACAAGTTATATGCTATTATGCATTCTTTTTGTGGCTACAATAAAACCAACTATAGCATACACAATAAAAATTACGTTAACAGTCACCTGGATACATAACCCGAGTAACGGTGAGATTTCCTTCTTTAAATTGTCTCTCATCATTCCATATATCTTCTCAAGGAAGGCAGTAAGCTGCTGCTTAAACAATAGCGCAGGATACTTGGCCTCAACTTGCCGTAGGTCATCCAACCTACCAAGTCCTCGACCATTAAGAAAAGAGAGTCCTGCACTTTGAGGAGAAGCCCGTAACCCCTATAATTGACAACGGTAATTTGCAAAATAAGCATAAGTCCAATATGATACAACAGACTTCTGAACAAAGGTACTTAAATTAGAAGACAAACAAATATAAATGCTTTGTACCTGAGACATCCTTCCAAAAAGAGATGCTGAGCTTGTTCTCCGCCGTTGTGGTGTCAAGCTAGCTGCTCCACTTGCTTTAAGCGTGTGTTGGAGCAGCAACAATAAAGTTGAGGTATTAGATAACCAATAGGCTAATACGTCGTTATTATCCGGGACCTGCAGTGAGGTAAAACCAGCACTAGTAACATGCTCAACAGTATTCAAAACTTGTTCTAAATGATATGTACTAAGAAGGTATGGCTAAGTTTAGATAAAAGACTGGGATGTCTTAAAACCACCAAGAGTGACTTACCTCTATGGCTGAAGCTATTGTTTGAATTACACGGTCAAAAATTCCAGTCCTTTCCACTTCAAATGACCTCCAATGAAGAAGACATTTGTATATGACACAAGCAGCAATTGGCCTTCCCCCAAAAAAACCCAAATCCTGTGATATACATTTGACCAGCAAGTCCTGGTTCTCCTGAAAAACAGTAGATTGCAACAGAAGAATTAGAAAGAGAAATAGAAACATCATGGCATTAGGACATACCGACAGCCACTTACCAGCTGCTTTTCATTGAGAGATTTCTGTGGTTTTTCTTCCGACTCAGGTTCACGTGCATTTGATACGGCAAGAGTCATATCCTGAAGCACATAGCAAACAGTAAGCAATACAAATAGAATAAATAAATCATTACCGCCTAAAAATTTGCAATATCTTCAAGGATAGAAGCAATGATGTCCACTTACTGATGTGACCTTTGATTCTCCATTTAGAACATTTCCATTTTCTGGTGTCCTCTGCAAATTTCAAAAAACACTCAACCAGTGAGCTTAAAGGAGAAGGACAATGCCAGTAAATGCAGAATAAGTAATGACCTAAACCAAAGAATACCTGAATAATCATTGTCCTCGGTCTTGAAGATAGAGATTTCCCAGTCGGTGACATAGTCAGTGCTTGTTGACGAAGTACTTGATTCTCGGACTCTGTGTTAGAAAGTTTCTCCTCAAGCCTGATATGGAAAATGTGTCAACTCCAATAAACATGACTTCACAGCAAAGTGGTGTCATGGAAGAGAGAGAGAGAGAGAGAGAGAGAGAGATGCTTTGTATATAAGTAAACAAATATAAAGGAGTGCACATCAAGACAAGAGAGGCAAGGGAATAGTGCGTGTCAAGGTGAAAATTGATAGCGGGTTATACGAGTCTGATTCAGTAATTATAACGTGACAAAAAGGAAAAATAAACGTAAAATTGACTGAACGCAGTTAATGAGCAACAAAATGTGAACTTGACCTACAAGATATGAAAGGAAAATCGCGAGTCAATCAGGGGTATAAAGTAGAATCATTTTTATTGCAAAACTAGATACCTAATGATTCCATTATCAAAAGTGTTTGCAATACTAGATACCTAATTATCACAAATGTTTACAAACCTCTGTACAGATTCCTGGAGCTGATCCACTTTTCTGCTTGCATCTTCAAGTTGTTTGACCAGCTCTGCATTTCTAGCCTCTGCATCAATAGAAGCTTTCTTGGCCTCTTCCACCGCCTGCCTTTCTGACAGCAGCAAGGTCTGTACAGTTGTAATGCCTCATTAAGTCAGCACATTGCATGAGTTCAATTTTGAGGTCAATCATCAACATTATGTGCTCTTGAAACGATAAAAACTACGATTCCAGGGTAAAATATGAACCAAACAACCCCAACGAGGAGTGTCAATTGAGTCCGCACAGGTCTTGACCAAGCTCAGTTTGAAGTGTAAATAGTTGAGCCTAAGCTCAATCCAACCCACTATTTAGGGCAGAAGTTTTAGATCAAGAGCGGTCCGCCAAGGTAAATTCCAAGGTTTGACCTTTTTAACAAAATATTCACATGATATAACTTGAACAGCTTTTAAGCAAGAGTATGTAAGCTTATCAACCATCAAAATACACATCTTTATATAAAAATTAATATGCATCGCCCTTGGGGTTAGCCCAATGGTGAGGGTGGGTGGAAAAATGGGTTAGGTTAGGACTAGGCTAGGCCAAGGCTTTGACTCCCTTCATCGAAACCAAAAAAACATTAATATACATGTATACAAAGGAAAATGAAATATCTACTACAGATCAGGCTGGGCCTATACTTGGACTTATTTAAGCCTAGCCTAGATCAGCCTGAACTTCAATTTGGGCTTAAAAACTCTATCTGAAATCAGCCCAAACTGAAGTCAAACAAAACCAGGTAAAACAGTTCGGGCCAAACAGATCAGCCTTCAAGCTAACCCAGCCAATTGGGAGTCCCAAAGCCAAACCTGCACAACCAGTTGTTTCGAACGAACTCTCTGCACTAGAGAGACATGACCTCCACAGAATACAGCATAAGATATGTTATTATTTGTCTGTTTGAGTTGTAATATATTTTATTATCATTGTTAGGGTTTTTCTGTTACTAACTGGTAAACTCAAAGGAGAAGATACTTCATCCGCAGAGTATTAGCAATTATCATCCAAAGTTTCAGTGCCTACCTTCAAACTCTCCACCTCAGCTGATAATGAATCGATTTTTTCAGTGTCTTGGATTATAACAGGAGTCTCCTTGATGACAGGAGGTGCTTCTTGAATAGCTTTCTGAGCTGCTTCTCGTTCTCTATTTGCTCTGGAATTTGCTTCTTCTACTTGTATTTGCATTGCATGCAAAGCTTCTTGCAACTTAGCAGTTTCTTGGGCTTTTTCCTCTTCCAAATCAGTCTGCAATTTGACTCAGCATAAATTAATTTATAGTGCTATTAAATGATTTACTTCCCCTCACCAACCAAAAAGAGCAAGCATACTATATATTAAATATAAAAATATAAAATTACCCTTAATCGCTTCTCAAGTTGTAAGCGCCATGTAAGTTCTTCCACACGTTTTTCCAGTTTATCTTTAGCTTCCTTAAGGGCCCCTGTTTCTCTTGCAGCCTGAATGGATTTAAACCAGTGTCATTACAATCCATGATGCATTACAACTTCCTACAGTAACAAAATCACATTAAGGAGTGTGATTCAAACCATTTTGAGATTTCTGAGCTCTCTTCGGGCAACCCTGCTCCTCCACCCACACTGAGTAACTATGGCAGCTTTCTGGAGACTCCTATAATAAGAATATGCTATGTGGCAACGCAAATGAGCCTGCAAGCAGCCAACAAGATCCACTCATCAATATTCATTTCTCTGAAACAAGTTACATGAAAAGGAGCAGTATTTTTCTTGCAGTTCATCCTGGAAAGTAAATTAGTAACATGCATCTAGAAGTTTCTTGATTTCTTCTTCGTAAATTTTAACACAATCAAATCAGGAGATGAATGGAAATAGGACCTGGACAATAACTGCAGCCTTAGTTTGCTTTCTGAATCTGAATTCATTTCGGGCAGTCATTGCCCTCAACCCTGTCTGTATTTTGATTGCAGACAACCGTTCTGTCAAGTAGGATTTCCTGGCAATGTACCGCCGGAAATATTTCTGTATCTTGACAGCTGCTGCTTCTTGTCGCAGCTGCTCAAAAACTTCACGAGCAGATATACCTAATTTACATATATAAAACCAAAAATATAGTTAAATATGGAGTACCTCGTGTTAAAACAACCAATCAATAAAATATGTTCTGTGGCAAGGAATATTGCATTCCTACTTCCATGAATTTGGTAAGCTTGAGAAAGCTAAATTGCGTTTTAAATAAATTAGCTTATGGTATTTTACAATTATTATATCCCAGTTTACTCGTCAACACCAGCCACCCACCCCTTACCCCTTAAAAGAAAAAAAGGAAAAACTACCACCCCTATGTGTACACATATTGAGAGTCACACAAACACAGATCTGTTCGAGTACAAAACAATCATTTCATTGGTCTTCGAAATCTCCATCATGGAGAATTATTATGCAAGAGTGCAGAGCCAAAGTTTGTTTATTTTAAAATTTTGCGATGCAAAAAGTCCAGCATCTTGATAGTGAATGGATTAATTGTTGCATGGCCAAATTTCACACCAAAGATACATGTCAATCAAATCAAGAAGCAGAATGTATTGAGAAAAATTGTTTAAATGGCAATACAAGATGATACCTCTCAAATAAGATTGCAATTGAATAGCAGCTTTGCGTAATGCAATGAACTCTTTGCGTGCCATATGTGTACGAATTTGCCTTTGTATAGTTCTGGCTGCATGTCCAAGTACCTCTGCTCTTCTTGCATCCAACTCGGCCATCTGACCAGCTCTTAGAAAGACCTTTGTCTTGCCTATCTGCCAAGGCATGTTGAGAAAAATGATTATCGGAATACAACAGCTATATTGATCAAATGCTTGGCAAAATATGAACAACCAAGCTAATTATGCAGGCATAAACAGCATGCTAGTAGAAAGTTCAAACAACAGGTTACACATGCATCATCTAGATGATAGCAGTAATAAGAAAAACCTAAATGAATTTCAGAAAGCAATTAGCCTACTAGGGACAGCTGATGGGCGTGGATAGTCAGGTTTCCCTGTCAACTCTTATTAGGACAGGGATGTCAGGCCCACAACCTGGGTTGGTGCAGTAATGGCCACAACTCAAGCCAGCATCCTTTGCAGATAAGCTCGAGCATAAAAGATAGGGTGTGTAACCCAAGCCTGCCTAACTGCTATAGCTAAGTAACATCATCAACATGCTATGAGCATAACAATTTGAATCACCTGATAACCAGTCAATCCCATTTTATCCAGGATCATTTGGCATGCAACCTTATCCTCACAGCTGTTCAGGTAAAAGTAAAAACAGTTCAGTAACACTTCTGATGAATATGAAATCTACAGTGGCCATTATTAAAAGTAAAAATTAAAACATCTATCCATCTTTCACCTGGCATAAGAACTAACAAAGTGAACAATTACTTACTTTCCTTCCAAAGCTTCAGGAGCAAGAACCCCAAAGCGGTGAAGAAACTCATAAAATGTACGTCGGGTAGGATATCCAGCACAGCTGATCCTAATCGCCTCAAGAACACCCTGAAACAAATAATAATTACCTGTATAAACTACCCCGAAACACAGGATTTCAAATGATAATTGTCGGAGGTTATGCAGCGGAAATGAAGCACAAGAGGAAAATATAGGCAGCTCATACTCACACCACAGCGTAATTGTTGTATTATGTTAAAGTTCTCAAAAATAGCAGGCTTGAGGACACTGTTGGGCTTCACACATCTGATATAGTGAGGTTCTGTTGAATTCAAGGTCTCCATCAAAGATTGAAGTTGTAACTGCATTTTCAAGAAGATAATCTCAGTTGTTGCTCAAAAACAAAAGTTTTCAATAATCTAATCTATAAAGAGACTTAACTTTTGACATTACCATCATAAATGAAGCAATAAGAGGAATGAGACAATGAATTCATTTGTGCTGTCCAGGCCTTACACAAAGGTTAAAAAAGTTTCCCTGATTTATTGATTATTATTGGAAATTAAAACACATAATTGAGACCAATGACACCATCACAAATATCCCTTGTCCTTTATGACACTTCCAGAAGTTGTCAACCTTTACTCAAGTACTGCATAGTCACCAATTGAAATACTTATTCAATGAATCTATTACTGTGCACACAAGTTCAAATATGCTATTTCTGGTTGATACGATGTTATTTTAATTTCTATACAGAACCTGAGTTGCAAATAATGCACTGAGAATATCTTCACCTCAACTAGGTCATTATGTGCCAAATAGCATATTTTATCTTGGGGTTGCAGTAATATCTATCCCCTTCAATTTCACATGGACCATATCTTTATTTTTCTGTAAATCTAACAATGGGATCAACCATAGAGCATTAAACATTAGGCAAAATAAGTTAGCTAAAGCCAATTTAAAAAAAAAGTATATTTGATCCAATTTAAACAGGTTGTGAAAAAGCTCTCATAATAATACCTTGAAGCGTGATCCAATGGATGAAAATTTAGATGACTTGGATGATTCCTCTGGAAGTGGAGGAAATAGCCCTGCCACAAAAGGGCATTTGGAGGCTGTCAACAGATCCTGGTGTTCTGCGACCACATAATCTTTGTTTTTATCAAGGAACTGATCAGCCAAATAAGTTACCTGAAATAAAATTGATGCTAAAATTTTAGCACAAATTACAATAATGTTATAGAGTAACTGAACATGCATAATAGCCCAAACAAGTATACCTCCCCTGCATAGTGAGATATGGTAAAACTAGTACGAGAAAGCTTAGGTTTGATAAAGCGCTTGTTTTTTGTGAATGTCTGGTATAACTTCTGCGCGAATGTTTCATGTGTGGATTTAGGAAACATACTGCAAAGCAATCAAACAAACATGAGTCCAACCAAAAGGACGAATTTAAACAATTACAATTATTCATGAAAACCAACAGATGGTAACTTGGGATAGAAAAAACACATATACAAAAAAGCTAAAGTAAGTTAACTTCTTGTGAAGATAAGAATTCAGATCCCATCAACCTTATAAAAAAAAATTGCAGGATTAAATATTATCTACATACCAGGCTTCATCTAAAAGTGCAATTATTCCTCCAGGTTTCAAAAAAAAAAAAAAAAAAAAAAAAAAATTATTTAACAAACTCAAATAGAATCAGAAAAACCTACAATTTGTTCTTTTAGTTGAAGGAAAATCAACATAATGAGTTTGTACTCATGTAAACTATATTAGCCATTCTGGATGATAAACAAGAATGCATCAAGCAACAATTTGTTACCCTTTCAATCAGATCCAACACATCTTGGTTATCAACAAACTCAATGTAGCTCCAATTGATTTCTTCTTTTGTATATTCTTCTTGTTCCATCTTGAAGACATGCTGCAACATGCAATTACCAAAGATTTTGATTAAAACTGAACCTAATTATTATGAAAATTGGAAGTGAGAACTATGCCAAAATTCTCCAACCTGATTGAAATGTTGTTGCAACTTCTCATTGGTAAAATTGATACAGAACTGCTCAAAACTATTCAAAAGGAAATTTGTCAGCTGCAAGACCAGAACTTACATCGTAAAAAATATCTAAAGTAAATAGTTTACCTGTTGAACTTAAAGCTTTCAAACCCATAAATATCAAGAACTCCGATCAATGACTTTGAGTTTGGATCTTGACCAATTGAGATGTTAATTTTCTCCACAAGCCTGTATGCATTAAAGAAAATTAATGTAAGAATAAAAAACAGTGGTTAGACACATATGTTCTTGATACTAGATATCACAACAGCATGGCTAAAAACACATGGACACAACAAACACGTAGAAACAGAAGCATTGTAAGGAAGTCACATTACCAGTCAAACAAACGGGAATAAATAGTTTTCGCTAGGGCATCTCTGCTAGCCAATGCAGAAACAGGGTCAAGAGTCCTTGTGATGATCTCTTCTGGTGTTACCATTACACGCTTAATGAGAGCTTCTTCCAAGCTCTTAGGATCACACCTACAATAGAGAATAATTGAAGAATGTGGCATTAACAAACAAGCATTAATATAAGATCGGAAATGTATCTGATTCTGGAAACATTAAAAGAAGCATACTTAAGCAACTCAGCTGTCGTACTAAGATGGAATCTAGACTTCTCATCCTTTATGACAGAAGAGTCAATATCCTCTCCTTTCGCAAATTCAACATTCCCAAGATGGAGAATTGCAGCTACCACCATAAAAATTGCATCCTGGAAAAAAATTTATTATCAAACTGAATGTAACACCACACGCTATATCTTAACATGCACTTCTAGGAACACCGACCTGCTCTTCCTCACTGATTCCAACTACATCCATAGCCCTTCGGGTTGCAAGATATTCCTGGCCATCATCTATTCCATCCAGCTCATAGCAACTGGATTGATTCAAGTAATGGAATTGTTTAGGGTTTCCCAACTTAAACTTCTCTCTCTCCTGAAAATGTTTTAAGAAGTGACAATAAATTTTAACTTACCATCACAGGTATAGAGCAGAATAACATATGATGGAGGTTGGGTGTGTGCAGACATTCAATGTCAAAAGTACAATATAAATACCTCGGGTGGTGAGGCACAAAGAAGGTAAAAGCAATGATAGTTTCTTTCAGGATCTGAGATTTGGCAAACACGAGACCTTTCAAGCAAATAAGTTCTTATAGCTGCCCCAGATATCCTCCCATTCTTGTCGAATTGGATTTCAACAAATTTACCAAAACGACTGCAATGTGTAAACAGAATAGACATTGAGAAAGTATAATAAACTCTGTGAAAAGTTAAAAATGTACACCGAACTTCCTTGACATTAAATTTTGTATAATTTATGGATAACGATATATCAATATGGTGTAGGCTGACCAAAGCAGATTTTCCCAAACCAGAACAAAGCATCCAATCAGAATTTTCTTCCAATCTTGAGACAATCTGTTTCCTTTATCAACAATAGAATACACCTCCACACTACTGGATTGGATATATATTATGTTATTATTTTTCATTTCGTATTGAACGTTTTGCATCATTTATTTGACAATTAAGTGGATGATAGGGAACCAGACATTTTTACATTACAATCTCTTTGCCTTCAATGAAACCATGATTCTAACTTCTCAAGCCCTGGAATGACCAAATACTCACCTAGAGTTGTTGTTCCTGACAGTTTTGGCATTTCCAAATGCTTCAAGAACTGGATTGGACTGTGAATATTCAACCAGAAAAACCATTCAGATAACAATTTTTATCCCATTTAAACATATAAATTATATTAAATTTTCAAGATATTATTAAGGAACTGCAATCTTAAGACAGTGTGTAGTTTTATCATACTTCTAGAACTTGCTGTTCAACTGTCCGCCCTTCTACACCAGATCGACCTCCAAGGTATGCAAGATATCGCATAAGCATCTTTGTCGTCTCTGTTTTACCAGCACCACTCTCTCCACTTACAAGAATTGAATTGCTCTTTCCTTCGTTGATCATAGCTCTGTTATATAAAATATTGAGTTATTAAGAACACGACAGGAAGAGGAGGGGGAGGGGGGGTGGTGGGCGAATTGCCAATTATATATACACACACACATCTGACACCATAGATTTAATTTACCTGTATGCAACATCCGCAATTGCAAAAACATGAGGGCTTAACTCCCCGAATGCAGCTCCTTTATATTGTTCCATCATATGTACGTCATACAAATGTGGTAACCTTTGAAATGGGTTTACTGCAATCAAAATATTTCCAGTGTACGTCTGGAAAGACATTACATAAGACTGTCAAAAATTTCTTTTTCGACTCAAAAATTTCTTCAGCACATACAAACAGAGAGAACATTGTATCTTACATAGATTTCATTGAGTTCATATCTGGTTGCCAAATTATGCAGAACTCCTGGTTCATGCAAATATGACAGCTTTGTCATGTCATCTACACCTCCAGGAGGAGCTTCAGTATCCTCGGGGAAAACTTTTGAGATATTTGTAACCACCTGCAACCAGATTTTCAGTTAGTGAAAATTATAATAGCTAGCATAAAGAATTTCAGAATTAGTTAAACATCAAACTTCCATTTTAAAATGAACATTAATGCAAAGCAATCAGATAACATCTTAATCACATGAAGGCTTCCAAATTTGAAATTGATCACCAAGATAACCAATTTCATTTGCATTGAAAAGTTTCTATTAACAAAAGCTTTTTCCCATCAGAAAAAGCAGAGACATACACAGTAAATACATTAAGTATGGCTCACCGTTTTCCCACTTTCGGTATGCACATGAACTTCTTCACCACTAATTCGGAGAACTTCTCCACCAACCCATGCTTCCGCTGGATCTTCAACCCAGACATGAGAACCTACTATAATGTTAACTGGTGGAGCCTGCAAACATAGATAAAATGAATACAAGAAACTATCACTGTCACGCAACGTACAGGTTACTGTGGCTCAAGAAACTATCGTCCACAATGAGCATACAAATGTAAAAGAAAACATTAATCAACAGGATCACACAAGATTATATCTCTCAAATTTTGGATGCTATGAAATGAATTACGAGTGAGTAACAACAACTAATCTTTATCATCATAAAATGAGGAACAATAGGAATTGAATTACGAGTGAGTACATAATACATTATACTATAAACAGCACAGCTGTCAAAATTATTTCATTGAAAATTGCTCAAAAGTATCTTGAAACAAGTAGGTCTAAGTCTGAATCTAACAATGTACTCAATGGCTATACAATTCTTTAGAAGACAATGTCAGCAAAAGTTTATACTGGTGGCCTGAAAAGACATGAAGAGATGTAATAGGGCCTGAACATAAATCTAACTACACAGCATGGTTGTGCTTCAGGCATACCATGATTGTGAAGCATTTAAAAAAAAATCAATAATTGTTCAAAAAAAATCAAATCAACAAAATGTTGACAGATTTCAAACCCACAAAAGACTGACCAAAAAGAAACTAAAACAAGAAATAAGACTACAACTAGAAACAGCCAACAATAAGTTTACAGCAACATTGCCCCCGATACCGCTCTAACATCTTCCACCTCCATTTCAATATTTGACTTAGTGTTGACTATGAAGCCATGCCCACGGAAACCACACCTGCTTCCAAGAGCTCGATTTCTAATACATATTGAGAGGCCGCGAACAACTATTATGCATGAAAGTTTCCATGCCAATTAACATTCAGAATTAAAATTACTTCTAGCAAAGCAAAGCCTACCAAGTCCTTATTAATTGACTAAAATGACCAACATTGCCTCATTACTTTCAAAAATTTCGATGCCACGTCAATTATATGGAACCTTTTATTTTCGGTAAGAAAATTATTCCCTATCCGATATCTACTTCACATATAACCTGAATACGCACAGAACACAATCAAACTATCCAGTAAAAGTTTATTGTTTACACCGCAATGCGTGGCTAACATCTGAATCCAATGAGAAGTTTTTCTTTTGGACTTAGTAACTACCTATTCATATTGATCCAATTCGACATTTTCAAATTGATTTTTCATCGGAAGCTATAATATTTGGCAACTCAAAAATTAAACATTCTTAGCCTTTGTAATTGCAACATACTTTGAGCTACAAACTTAAAACCAGAAAATCAAATCCCAAGCTTTTAATAAGTACCTTCACAGTTTATAATCCAAGACTGAATCCAAATAAAACTTTGCATAATCGGACTTAGCTAAGGTAAACCAATGAGTCAAACAAATCAAAACAAAGAAAACAATCATTTCCATATATTTCTTCAAGTTACCATATAGATTGTACTGAGCGATCTCCTCCGTTATGTCATCCGATACAGGACCGAGTCAAAGAGGAACTGACTCGGCGAGTTAGATCGGAGCGAAACAGACTGGTAGCTTTGGAGTTTCAACAGCAATTTTGAGAAACGAATTTGAATTTCGAGCTGGAGAAGACGATAATAGGAAGAGAACAAAGCAGATGATGAAATTTTTTGGCCCTTTTCCGAAGCTTTTTCAAATTTTTTTTCTCTCTCTACGAAATTGGAGGTATGGAAGCTTATATACGAAAAAGCAAGAAGCTTTGAAAGCTTCTCTGTCTCTGTCTTTCTCTCTCTAAGTTTTTGAGTTAGCTTGTTGCTTGCTGCTGTGCGTTTCGGACAGTAGAAATTATTTTTTCTGCTTTTATTTTACTGGTCTGGTCAAATGGGGTCCTTGGATTGGGAGAGAGAGTGAAATGTCTTCGTGAGCTCCACAAACATTGGCTTTCGGCTCAAAAAACCGATGTGTTTGGGCAGATACTTGTTTTTAATTACGGAATCACCCTTCCTCCTTTAGGAGGCAATTTCTTTTGGCTACCACTAAACACCCATGTACACTGTATATCGGAGATTCTAATATGCATCTCACGTCATCTACTGACGAGAAATATACAATAGAGAAAGTGTTATTTGTTGTCTTCATAATATATTCAAAATTAATAAATCTCATATATGTACTTTTAGTCGTCTACAGTAAAATTACTGTAAGACATAGTCTTTTTTTGATGAAAAATTGTGTATTAACACATTGACGATATACTTATGACTGAGATGTGCAGCGCAAATGCAACATGGTGTGAGAAAATATAGCTAACTCATTGACGACATACTTATGGTTGGACCCTAGTTTGCTCTTTGATAAAGGCAAAGGTCCAAGGTGAACTTTTTGAGATTGCTAAATTATTATATGAATAACGTGGTATTTTATAATGTTTGTATATTCTAACTAAAAATTAATTAGATAATCCGAAAGAGTTCCAGTTCATTTTGTGTTGTTGGAAATCATCATCACTATTTTGTCAATGTTAATGGCTTAACTAATTTGGAGAAGCCAATTTGAGCCACTATATTCAACTCTTGGCACATAACGGAAGGAACTTGTTAGTCTTCTATTCCATGGATGGAAACCCAGGTTTTCCATAACGTGTGGCTTTCTTTAAAAAAAAGTTTCCTTCCCATAAAATAATGGGCTGAATCATCAATTCTATCAGGGTTAAGCTGGTAATTCTGTTCAAGCTAAAGGGTAATTTTGGATTAGCAGTTTCAAGTAATTTCCGACCAAAATATTATTAGAAAAAGATTTTTTACGTTTTACGACATGACAATCTGATATCCACGTACCATTCGCTGGCGCCTGAATTTTGTATAGCTATATATTTGGGATCGAGAAAATTTCCCGTATAAGCACTCACACCGAGCCTGTATGTTACTATTGATCAAAACCAAATTATAAATTAGGAGCAATGAAACACGATCCATGTAGAAGCACTTGGCTTGGCTTGGGCCTCTCTAAAATATATGAAATATTTGTCTTTTCTTTTCTTTTTCTAATCGTCACGAAAAATGATGAAATAGAAGCACTTGGCTTGGGCCTCTCTAAATTGTTTGAGCATCAACACATGACATGACATAGCTTGCTGCTTGCTTGAGCTTTTGTAGGCAGACCCGGAATCCAGGCCTTGAAACATGATTTCTCTTTTGTCCAGGAAAACAACATATCAGAATTCACAGAGAAAATAAGGCAACGGCTCCAAAAACAAAATGCTGTTTAATTAAAGGGTAATCTATATGAACCCCATAAATTACTCTTTACACCCCATAATTTTTTACACCCCACTAAATTTTAATAAAATTTCAAATTACTCATTAAACCCCTTTTTTTCCCCTAAATTGCCCTTATAAACCCCCATTCCCTAACCACCCACCGAAAACCCCATTCCCTTTCAGCCACACCCCATCTGAAATCAAACCCCACCCCATCTGATATCCAGCCACACCCCACCGAAAATTCTCTCCTCTTGCAGACACACCCCATTGCACACCCCATCCCATTTACACCAACCTCCATCGCAGAACCATCGAAGAAGCCCTTTGCCATTGCCTGCATCGCAGAACATCGAAGAACTCATCCCTTGCCATCGCAGATCTTTGCTCACCATCGAAGAAGCCCTTTGCCATCGCCTCCAGCAAACCTGAACCATCTCTGAAACAGAACCATCACACCCATCTCCATCTTTGCAAACCCAAAAGCCATTGAAGGTCAAGTTCTCACAAATCCTTATTCAAGGTTTGATTTCAAATTTGATCTATATATTTACGTTTCTAAGTGTTGATTAAGCCTACATTTGATTTCACTTTTGAAAAGCCAAAGTCTGATACTGATTTTGATTTTGATTTCAAGGTTCTGGGTAGTTCGAACCTGGTTTTACGAAATTGGATTCTAGTTTCGGTGGATTGCCACCGAAATGATTACATTGCTTCAGTGGTAGTCCACCGAATTAAACCTGTACTTTCGGTGGGTTACCACCGAAATTGTTACCTTGTTTCGGTGGTAGTCCACCGAATCTGTTTCTATTTTTCAGGGGACTCCCACCGAATTTCTTTCGGTTTTTCAGTGGTACTCTACCAAATATGTATTCTTTTTTCAGTGATTGTCCACCGAATTTATTTCCATTTTTCAGTGATTATGTACCGAATACGTTACTGAGTGTGTACTTAATATTTTTTCTCTTTTTCTCTGTGTTCACCTTTTCTATTTTCTCCTTCAACTCTGGAGGTTCTGCGACAGATTATGGTTAAACTCCTGCATTATTTTATCAACTTTCTCCTTCAACTCTAAATGACTATGCACACAAAGATGTATTTTTCAGGTTACATGTGAAAAAAAATTAAATAAAATTATTAGATCTATAATCTCAATTCTGTAACAGGTGCATTTTCATCAGTCATTAGGATGACGGTATCTGTAGTACCTACATTCTCCACTCCCGGAAGTTGTTGAAAAGCATCCACACGTGCTTGGTACCTCGAGTACAAATGTGTTACATTGCATATGTCACTTTGTTCATGCCACATTCTAGAAACTGGTGGAATAGGATGATCTGGAGACAAATGAACCTACAAAACAAGAATCCATTCGTCGATCCAAGATGCATACAAGTGTCTGTCCATGCGGCCACAAACTTATCCTTAAATGGATTTAACCAATTTTCATGTATGTATTCAAGAGCTTTTTGAAATTCACTGAACTTAGACTCAATCTGTCGCAAACAACGCCAATATTCCTCCTCCGTTTCTGAACCAACCAAAGTATTCCAATCCTCATTAAATTGCTTCCATTGTTTGAGGGTCCCAAATAACTTCTTGCAGTTTGCCAACACTCCTTTGTTAATATGCCATCTACATAATAAATGTCGTGCTTTCGGAAATATAGACGTAATAGAATTCAAGAGTGCTAACTCTCGATCGGTGACAATAACACCAGGAAGACAATTATCATCCAACAAATTCCTCAACGCAGTCAATGCCCATGTGTAATTGTCTTCCTTCTCGGCATTCATATACACATACGCAACAGAGAATGTCATATTAGTATATGTCACCTCCACAATTTGCAATAGTGGGAAACGATACCTATTAGTCTTATAGGTGCAATCCATGATAAGTACATGTGGAAATGCGCGCAAAATATCAATATTAATGGGGTGTGTCCAAAACAGGTCAGTTACAATATCCCCAGATGTCCTATGCCACTCAATATAATTGTGTTCGGATAACTTAGTAAGCAATTGTTGCATTTGGGTTCTCCCAGCAAATTCTTTGGTTCTATTTCGGATCCTAGCATTGTATATTGTCTTCATAGTTGAAACATTCATTGCATCTCTATCTTTAATGGTGACCTTGAAGATACTCTGAAATAGGATGGTTGTGTACTCCACAAACCACCTCCAACTTCCAATCATCCCCATCACCAATATTAACACCTTTTAACAAGAATGGGCATCCACATTTCTTGGTACCAGTGTCTCTAGCACATTTTTTCATATCACTATTTGCATCCGATCTTATATCAGTTGTCTCACTAGACTTGCAAGACTTATAGTTAGCGTTCCTCTCACAAGCAAGTATTACACGAGGTCTCCTCTTGCCCTCACCTCCATAATCAGACCTTTTAATTACAATGATAATATTATTCAATTTTCCTTGTTCACGAGCCCATTGAAGTAATGCATCTCTACCATTGAATATCTACACATAAAACTCATATTATTTAAATATAAAATTTGAAACATTAATGCCACGTTAATGATACTAAAAAGGATTTCAGATAAATAATTACCGAATAAGTTGTGAATTGATCACTATAGTCCATTACACATTCTGTTCCCACATTGTTGCCTTCAGTAGGGGCGTCACCTTGATTTTGTTCCTTCAATGGGAGTAAGATCAAAATAGCTTGGATTAAATTTGTGGTTGGCAATAAGTTACTGAAAAAATAAATAAATTTCGGTTGGATGCCACTGAAACGCGGGTAAAAGTTCGGTAGTACACCACTGAACTACGTTCCATCTTACGGTGGATCCCCACCGAATATTAAGTTTCTCACCGGTGAAATCCAACCGAAAAAGGTGCAAAGTTTCGGTGGCATCCCACCGAAATTATCTGTCGTGTTCGGTACTGATGTGCTGAACACAACCAGCGACTGTTATGAAATATTAAACTTGCAAAATGCCAAAAAATAAACTCGTTCCTCATTCGAAGCGTCTCTAACTTCAATCTCACCCTTCATGAATAAATACAATATATTTTTTCACCAGTATAAACTTATAAATCTTGGGTTTAGGGTTTAGGAACATGATAGTTTGAGAAAAAAGTCAAACTAGAGTTGCAGGAACATATGTGGGGTGTAGTGAGCAATTTTAATTTTAATTTTAATTTTTTTTGTCCTTAACGGTAATTGTGTACAAGGGTAAAATAGGTTATTTATATTTAAAATTAGTATGGGGTGTAAAGAGTAATTAATGGGGTGCCAATAAAATCACCCTTAATTAAATCGGGAAAGAAAAAAATAAAAATTACAAAATGGTTACCAAACGGGCCTTTTAGAGAAATAGAGAAAGAGAGATAGAGAGTTGGGTATGTTTTTGAACAGACGGTGTTTGTTTGTTTTGGGCTTTATGCTATGTTGTCGGTTATTTTTGTCTTGGGTGTTTATGCAGTATGTATACTGTATATGTCCTCCTTGTCCAATTTTTAATAAAACAAGATAAATAATATGAATAAAGGGAGTCTAAAACTCAGTCCCTTTTTTCCTTTCTTCTTCTTCTATTGGGTTCTGTTTTTTGTTGGTTTTATAATTTTTTTGCTTGACATTTTCAGTAAGGTTACTTTTTGTTTTTGTTTTTCAAAATATTAAGGTTTTTAATTTATTTTTTTAAAAAAAAACAAGTGATATTCTACTTTAATTTAAGGGAGATTCAAACTTTGGTGCAGAGTAAGGAGCACATCCGTTTTAACCAACTTGACTAAGTCCATATGTGTTCTAAGGTCACCTTTAAAAAAAATGATATTTCCTATTGAGAGAGGCGATATTGTATTAAATTCATTATCCGCTTTAACCAACTTGACTAAGTTCGTATGTATTCTAAGGTCACCTTTAAAAGAAAAAAAGATATTTCCTATTGAAAGAGGCGATAATGTATTAAATTCATACACACTACATCGATGCTAAGACTCGAACTCAAGACCTTGTCTCAATGGGCAATTGCTCTAAACCATTACCCTAGTGATTCCTTTTGTCTACTAATATTACTTTTAATGTAGACTGATTTGGCTTTTCCTTCCATAACGGTTTGAAGTTCTTGCTATTTGAAATATAGTAACTCAAACTGTGCTAGCAGAGTAGTACTAGTTGGTCAACGGTTCAATTTCATTTTATATTGGCACACGTTTAAAAAAGAATTATTTGATATCTAATTTTTCACTATTATTTTTATTTAACGTGAAATATATTTTTGGATTAACTTAGATGGAATTTTGCACCCACTACAACAAGTGAAAAAAACGACTTTTACCAAATGAACTTAGAGCATCTCCAACTGATGTGTTAAAAGTGTCACATAGACATTTAACAGCTAGAAATAACATCTCACATCACTCCAACCGATGTGTCAAAGCTAATGTGGAATGAAGGCTGGAGGTTGAAATGTTATTTTTGACACCTCAAAAGCAAGATGTCAAATGAATATTTTATTATTTTTTAAAGACAACTGGCTATTACTTTCATTTATTATTTTCTTTTTTTTTCCTTTTTTCTTCTTTATCTTAAATAATTTGACTGTTACAATAATTATTTATTTGACATATCGGGTGGAGTGTAAAACTGTGTAAATGTCATATTGCCACATCAGTCATCAAATTTAAATTTGATGTTTGGTATTTGTCATATCCCTTGGAGATGCTCTTACCTCTTCTGGGCCAAGTATTTCGGCAAACAGTTTCTGGGCATGAACAATCTCTGGGTCAAGCATTGCGAGATCAGCCACACCTGAAGTTTCAAGGACCTAGGCATGATCGTGCTCGTTAGCCAAGTGAATCGCCTTAGGAAGCTTAAACGACCTGTCATTGGAGTCAGCTGCGCCTCTACCGTTGACACATTGGGCCGCCCTCTTCGCCTTCTGCGCCTCCGCAGGTATTCCCTCATCATATTCTTACCCACGAACAAAATTTCAATGGCGCAATTGGTCCACCCCATTGCAAACAGTGCATTTGTGCTGAGCATCGACACTAATTTCGACAGTTGCATAAAGCTGATAAGAGAAATGACAGGACCCGACCCAAATTCCACTTTGGTATCCGAGCCGAACCCTGTTCGTGATCGACACCTGGCGGGTGCCGAGCACAATTGACTTGGTTGCCCTTTTTCTGATTAGAAACTTAATTCCCTTAAATCTTAACTTCTACCGAAAATTCGGCAGAGTCTCCCTTGTAATTCAAACGTTCCCAAAATTACACCTGTCAAACAAGCACTTAAATATAAACACCAACTGCCAGCATACAAAATAAGTAAGTTCCAACAGTTAAATACGTTCCAGGGCAATATCAGAGCAACTATACAGATTTATTTACAAGGGAGATAACCACTTGTGAAGCAAGGAACCCTACATCAAAACGAGGAAGAGCGGGAGGCGGAAATGCCCGGTGGTGGCTCTCAGATGCACGTCTACAGCCTGGGGGCGCAAAACATTAAAAAGGTGAGTGGACCCAAAAACAAAGTTTAGAAAATACATATGAACATACTAACCCCACTGTAAAAGTAATTATAAAAACTAAAATCATTCTCTTCTGTATATACGTACTGAAACCAATGCACTCATATATACATATATAAATATGTCAATCATGTTCATGGTCAACATCAATCTCTTAAAAGCATTGAAACCAGTTTAAAACTACCACTTAGGTGTACTCCTTTATTTCCGTCAATTCCCGTTACCCGTCAATTCCCCTCGCATCACCATTGGTGACACGTCCTCGCAGGTCTCGGTGACATAAAGTCAATCCGAGCTGCAACCTCGCAGGATTCAGGGGACCTTGGTCAACCTGATCCGCGTCCTCGCTCCACACGAGTCCGGGTACCATAGAACTCGTGGGCAGCTGTCAAGCATGCTGACTAAACTGAAGGTAACTGATAAAATCCGAAGGCAACCTGGATGTCCGTGGACATCATCATATCCGAAGGCAACATCTGTATATCTGGGTACCTCAAGTGGCTTAGAAAATAACAATAACAATAATAATAAGCAAAGTTTTGAAAGATCTGGTAAATAATTGAATTTCCGTTAAGATTGGACTCTGCTGCCATTTATCTGATGTTTAACAAAAATTCTCTCTCTATATCCCTAAAGGATATTCCACTCGGCAGCATGCAAATCATAATATTTAAAAGCATGTCTCATTAATAAAACATTAGTCTTTGAATAAAACTTATTCAAGATCAAATACTGAAACTGAATTGCATAAATTCATTTATGAAAACAAAGAGTCCACTCACGGTTGGTCCGAGCTCGCTGGACCTTTGGAAGGTCCCTCCTGCGGGTCAACTGGTGCCCGAGTGCCTGATTCAAATATCATAATAAAATATATTAATAAAACTGCTTGATATAAATATTTAAATAAAACCCTGACCCCCGGCTTCTAGAAGTGCGTGCATCAATTTAAAGTTATTCCTATGCCCACATTACGTTCCTTTAATCCTAGGACATTCGTCCCGTGAATCTGGTTTCGATCGGACGGTTAGATTCGTCACGATCACACGATCGACGATTCTAAACCCTTAACCCTAGGGTTTGCGATTTCGGAGTATTCGGGACTCCGATTCACGATCCGTCGAATCCTACACAATCCTGGCAAGGTCTAGATTAACATATTTGAAAGTGATCATGATCCAACGATTTGAAACTATTGAACCCGGATAACGCACACAATGTAAAAGTCCGCTTAACACTCAAACGACGTCCGAATTGAGATCCGCGAATTTCTACACGCTCGTGAGAAAACGAGGATCATTCTGAAACTGAGAGTGGTCCCCTCCAGACTGCCCACGCGCCGCCACACGCGCTGGCAGCTTGGGTGGCTTGAGAAATTTCCGGTGGCCGGAAAAACTCCAAACCGCCGGCCCAAACTCCTAACTTAGGTAAAACACCCAATTTGGAACCACTTTTGTTCTTGGACCTACCCCAAAAAGTGATCGGAAGTGGCCGGAATCACACTCTCAAAACCGGCTGAAACTTAAGTTGAGAATCGAACGATCTATGCTTGAAATTTCTAAAATCCTACCCAACCAGCAGCTAAGTCACGAAAAATAGGTAGGAATCCATACCTCACTCGTCTGATTTGGTGGAGAATCGAGGGAGAACGAGCGATGAGAAAATCTGTCAAAACCCGCACGATTTTCTGCGTTTTCCGGTGGCTGCTGGCGGTGGTTACGGCTGAGCTTGGTCGGACTTGGAAGAGGAAGCGGCGGTGGTTCGATTGGGTCCGGTCTCGTCGGCCGGAGTGGAGTGTGGCGGTGGTTATGGAGGAGAGAAGGTGGCGGGTTGAAACAGGGGGGGGGCTGTGTCGTGAGGAAGAAGAGTGAGGCAGGAGAGAGAAAGTCGGTGGTTTAAAAAAAAATCCTGATCTCGAAAATTACCATTTTGCCCTTGGAAGTATTTTGACCGTATTTTCTTCGTTATAACTCCAAATCGAGCCCACTACGTGTCTACGGACTCGTTTCGTCGCGCTCTACGCAACTGTGCAAACAAAATTCCCAAACTCATCTCCGGTCAAAAAGTCAACTTCTTAATTACTAAAATAGTCTAAGGGCAAAAGTGTCATTTTTCCTTAATAAACTACTAGTTAAATATTAATTAAAGTTTGGGTTATTACAAGAAATCACAGCCGAATTCGATTGGGAAGTCCCCCATTGGGTCATTATTCCTCGTGGCAATCTTGGTAATATCTATGCATTTTACAAAGGCTTCAAAATGTGCCAAGAATTGGGCTTGGTCAATCGAATTCCAAGCCTTGTTTGTGCTTAGGCCACCAATTTGGTCCACTTGAAACATCAATTTAACAATTAAGAACTAAGATTATACCAAACAAGGCAAATACAATATTTCTCAGAAAGTGACATATCAACCAGATCTACAATTCAAATCTCAAGTCTAATTTTAGCCAAATTTCTCAAGCCAAAAAGAAAAGAAGCAAACTTGTTTTCATAGATAGAGACATAAACAATTAAAGCAGCACCCATATTCAGCTTGCAGCAAACTAGGAAATTGATTTAACAACCTTAAAATGACCCAAAAATAATTGTCGAAATTTTAGAAAAAATCAAAAATTACAGAGGTACCTGAGGATTGAACTGTAATTGTCAGACTTCATATGGCATGGCTTTGAGATTGGCGATGGTGCTCTTGGAGTAGACATCGAATACCCTAATGCAACTGTCGAGCGAAGCCGAGGCCATGATGTGGCGGAAGGGGTGAGCCGCCATAGAAGCGACTTCGAGGCAGTGGCCGATCATTTTGCCCCGGTTCACCAGCTCGTCTGACTGCCACAGCCTGAAGGTCTTGTCCAGTGACCCTGTTAACAACAAAGCGAGTTAGGTCTTGGTGGACCAGACTCATGTCACCGCCCATACTGACTCCTCGTGCCCGTCATTGAGTGATTTGAGCCCTTTGAGCTTCATTGAAAAGTGGTTTGCTAAAACAACAACCATAGTGTTAATTAAATTCTTAATTCATTTTTTTTTTTTTTTTTTTTTTTTTTTTTTTTTGGATTCTTCACACCTCAATCCAAAACTTTATGTTTACAGAAAGTTTTGGGTTTTACTTGTTGGTTTGGGTTGCGATTTCAATTGTTGATAATCTTAGGCCTTGTTCTTGCATGGCCCATTAATGAGTTGGGTTTATATACGTACTATGTTTCTTTGGGTGGGTGATCACTGCTTTAGCCAACTGACTCATGCCTATTTCAACTCCACATATTCAATATTATTTAAATTAGGGTTTGTCATCTGATTGGGCTGGGCTAGACCAAGATTTGAAAGAGATTGGTCAAAGCTCGCCTAGAGGGCCGAGCCTAAGTGGGCTTTTCGGGCCGGGCCATCCATGAATTGCCTATTTCCTTACTTTATTTCCATTCCAAACATTTACTTAAGTATAAATAAGGAAGTACCCCCATTTGGATTCAATTAAAAATACTAGAAAATCAAATTCCCAACAAATCAAAATATGAAAATTCAATTTTAGTATAAGATACAATTTATACCAATATTGATACCTAAAAAAGTCAATGTATACTTTATGCTAAAATCTCATAAAATCGTGTTTGCTTATTTAAGATGTAAGGAATATAAACTGCCAAAAATATCATTGAAAACATTAGTATTTCAAAAGTCTATTTTTCATACTTAGTCAAATTTTGAGAGAAAACTGTTTTTCAAGTAGATGTGTACTAATCTATATTATCGTGCATCAAATTTTGACTACATATCATATTTGAAAAACCGTTTTCTCAATGTGAGGTTAGGTTTCATGTGTCCACCGCGCAAATTGTACCCCTAAACCTACGTATTAATTTATGTCATGGGTCATACTCAACTACTTTGGACCACCTTACAGCAAAACTTGTTTTGTCCATTCATGTATATTTAAGCTGCTTGATTGGTGAACATTGGGGCCTCCCAGATCAATTAAATTGCCAAAAGGATTCACTGATGGTAGCTAGGAAAGGGTAAAATGGTGTCTTACTTTTTGTTCCCCAATGCACTTTGGCTAAAATTATATATCGAAAAAAGTGTTTGTTGCTTGAATTTTTGCTTCTTGATCTAATGATTTCATCGGCAAGCGTAACTTCAAATGGGTATTGGAAAGTCCTCCGACTTTGCCCAACAAGCATTGTTTTGTATACATTTCTTGAATCAAAGCTTTTAGTAAATTGCAATCATGCTACTTGTACTCTGTTTGTTCAAATAACTTCACTTTTATCTTAAATTATAACCCACTTCAAGCAATACAATTTGGGCAGGTTGGAAGGTAGACCAACCCTAGTTCATCTTTTACAATTATTCGGGTGCGCAATTGGTTTCGAATTTCGGTTTCATGGGTTGAGTTTAGGGTTTAGGGTTTAGGGTTTAGTAAGCTTAACTCCGGATTTCTCATAAAGCAATGATGTCAACTAAAGCTTCATAGTTTGGAGAATAATTATCCTATCTTTACCACTTGTAGTAGCATAGGCAGCACTAAGAAGGGTTAAAGAAGATTGCATACAAAAGCAAAATCAGGTCAAATCTTGCAAACTCATACGCATATTATATTAATATTTGTATGTACATCAATACAAACCAAGGGCAAGGGCTCCAAGTGGTGAACAAAAAACACAGTTAGAGCCCAACCCAACCCAATCGATACATGAAATCCAGCACTCAGCAGCATACTTCCACAAGGAGCTCCAAGATGTGAGGAAAAAATAAAGCCACACTCAGAACCCATTGCCTGTGTAAAAAAATTTAATATGTAGATACTACCTATATTGCTCTGCTATAATACACACTGATATCATCAAACAATTCAAACCCAGAAATCCAAATTCACATCTCTCTCTCTCTCTGCAAATGGTGCTCCAAAAGATGAACAAAAAAACACAGTCAGAGCCATTTGCCGCCTTCTATATCATCAATCTGTAAAAAATTGACTGTAAATGTGTGTGCATTACCTTCCCAAAACTATCAAGTAATTAATCAAACCAGTAGAAAATGGTAAAGAAAACCATTGCAGAAGATTATTAGGCCATCTTCTTTTTCTCCCTCATCGAGTTCATCTTCTCAAGCCTCCACTCATCTCTCAGCCTAGCGATGAAGTTATCAGCTTTCGTATTAACATCTGGGCTGGGACAGAACACTGACGGCCCACCACCACCACCATCTCTACCGTCCATTACGTTGACTCTACTATGTGACTCTGACTGTGACTTTGACTCCGACTCTTCTTCCTTACCTGGCGTTGCATCAACGTCCTCCAATTCAGGAGATCCACAACGGGAGCTCTGTGCGCTCTGTATCTTAACGAAGTCCCCTCGCACACAAAACCTCAGCTCCGGCATTTTAAACGGCGGTAGAGGTGGCGCCCCAGGAATTAACGGGCTCTGGCAGCCGCTGTTCACATTCTCCTCGGATAAATAACTGTTCGTCTTCGTGGGCAATGGCGGCCTGCCACTGGCGGCAGAAGCTCTCCGTGGCGAAGGTGTTTGCGGTGGTTGTGGCGGCGGAGTTGGTGGCGCCGCCGGGAAAATAGCACTCCAACTCTTTTGTTTTCGCAACGTGGATCGTGGAGGTGGTGGGGGTGGAGCTGGTGGATTCGAGACGGAGTGAACTTTTTTGGCTTTGCTCATTCCCTTTTTGAACAGATTGTGAAATACAGAATGTGGCGGGGGCGGAGGTGGCGGGGGAGGAGGCTGCGACGGCGGTGGTCTTGTGTAATAATACTCTCCTTCTCCTCCTCCTTCTCGTACTTGTTGTTCTGGCGGAGAGTGGGTGGCAGTATCGTAAATGTCTCTGGTACTGGTGGGCTTTTGCTTCTTCTTCCTCTTTCTCTGGTTGGACAGAACCGAAGCCCAAACCATAGCTATCTCCTTCTTCACGTTACTCTTTCTACGTTTATGCTCCGGCCGAATCCGCATTGGCGACGGCGACGCTGCAGGACGTGGCGGAGGAGGAGGCGGCGGCGTTGGTGGCGGAGATCGAACCTGCTCGAATTGTTGAGCCTCATTAACAATAACACTGTTAGTGTTGGGTACTTTCTCCTTGTGATCTCTACGTCTAACGGTCTCATACGCCCTTCTCGGATTTTGATGACGCAGCGGAGGAGGCGGTGGAGGTGGCGGCGCAGGCGACTGGGGCGGCGGAGGAGGAGAAGAGCGAAGTACGAAAGTGTCCACCGGAATCTCCTTAATTACATCCGAGTACTCACGGGAGCGGCTTTGGCGCGAAACTGGCGGCGGAGTACGATGATAAGTAGTGTTGTTGATTTCGAAGTCATCGAAGAAGCGAAACTGAGACTTGCTGTGATCTCCAGATTCCCATGAGGACTGTTGGCCGAGCTGCCTCAGATCTGGGTAGGAGCTGCTGCTCCTCCGCAACCGGCCACCGCTGGTTTCCGGTGGCCTCTCTGAAAATCCAAACCATTGTTGTGGAAGCAAGACTTCGGGTTCTGATGTGTTTGTTGTGTTGTTCGCGGCAATACTATTATTTAACGGGTCAGAAGCATTTTGGATAGGATCCTCCTCGGCGGGTGATCCGTCGTCGTTTCTCTTGGCGAAGATCCCGCAGAGAATCGCAAACACGACGAGGAAAACGTTGAGGGAGTCCCAGCTTTTCTTGACGGAAATTGTGGGTCGGAGGATTTGAGAGGTGAGGGACAGAAATGGAGGGATGGTGCAGAAAAGGAAGAGGAAGGTGATGATGGGCAGGAGTATGATGAGCACCGGCGGACTGAGAAGCGGGGACGATGACGGATGGCGGCGAGGCATGGAGGTTGCAGCGGTGGCGGGGATGGTGAGTTGGGGACCAAGTAGGTGGGTGGTGGTGGTTTTGGTGGGTCTTTTAGGCTTTGTTCACTTGCATTGCATAGCTTTCGATGAGTTGGGTTTTTTTGAGCCTTTTGGTTGTGGAGACAAAGAGTATAAAAAATAAAATAAAAACACTCGGGAAGCAAATAGCCTTTAGCAGACAGAGATACTATTACACTTGAAAAATTGAAATCAAATAATGATGCACGTTTCACAATTTATTGTTAATCAAAAACCTTTTGATTGTCTTTTTGATAATTAAGTATGTATTAGGGAGGAAATTGTTGTTTTGAATCGAATAAGAGTAATACGTGTCGGTCCCTACTATAAATTAGGTAAATTAAAGATACAGACATAACATATTACGAATTCTTTTTTTAATGTATACGAATTACGTGTTGATGTAGGTAAATGATAAGAGATGGATGGAGATATACATCAAGGGGAAGGAAGGAAAATTGTACATGTGAATCATGAGGATATGCTATAACTTATGATTTATAAATAAATAAAAAGGGAATCATGCATTACACATACGTTAAGCTGTTTTGGTTGTGTGTATCGCTCAACAAAGAGTTGGTGCTGACAACCAATAATATACCGACAAAATATAAACTCTTTTAAAACCTTCAAGTATGAATCTTTTGTCCAAAAATTCTGCCAATCCAGCAAACTAAGAAGAAGAGGATGAAATGGAAGTATTTCTAAGGCAAGCAAAGCAAGTTGTGCAGGTAGAGCCATGCACGTGTAGCCCATACGACACAGAAGCACAGGACACTCGTAGTACTCAAGCATCTTCTTCTTCCTTTGTTTGAATGATTGGAGCGTGGCTGCAATCATTGAAAATTATATCTTTTTATGTGACACTCTGTCAAAAGACCGACCCTCCTCCTCCTCTCTGTTCTTTTGCTAATGCTTTTTACAATCTACTGTTCTGTTAAAGCATCAATGTGTATAAGCTGCTTTTTATGAGAGCGCTGAGCTACCAATTTTCTGCATTTTTCTATTTTGTTTTTCTCAAACTGTGTTGGTTTCAGACTGTAAATGAAGCGCCAGTTTTTTGGTGGAAAAATTGACTTGGAAAAGCTGCCAAGCGTGCCAACTAATAGTACACGTACTTCAAAAAATCACAGCAGGAGCTGAAGAGCACTAAGTAATTGTGGGAAAAGCTATAATTTGAATCCTAGTGCTTTAGCTTATATCCGTGACCCACGCATGTCCTTATTGCACATTTCAAAGGGGGGAGAGAGAGAGAGAGAGAGAGGTCCCATCCCATGGCTTGCAAGCAACTTTTTAATGAGCAAGCAAGTGTATGTTGTTTTTTTTATTTTCCAACTGATTAAATAACACTTTGCATCTCATCCCTTTGATATGAGGCCGTGAGCTGGGATTGTGGTGCGTGTCGACAGATGACAAAGCTTTTGTGTATGATTGAAATTTTGGAGTAGGGAAGGAAGGGACTGGTTTCTTGGAGACAAATTAATCTGAGTGAAGAGACAGATTGAGAAAGGACAGCCACTGGTCACCAAGGCCAAGTGCCGTCCAAGTTTCTCCAAAGGGCTAGGCTAGCTAGCGTTTAGCAGTCCCTTTTCTTTTCTTTAACTTTATCTTTATATTCCTACGAGTCAAACTTTGAGAGAAGTCCCCATTCTTTTGAGCCTTGAGGCTTGACTTACCAAATTGCAATTTCAAATAAGGCCTAGGTAGAAACCAACCCTTACTTGACGCTATTGGTATAGAGAATTTCATCGAACAACAAATTTTTACCCATTTTTGGGATTTTCGAACCCAACTTTGATGAAGCATTTTCTATCTTCAATGATTGTAGGACAAAAAAACGAATTCAATAAGAATTTAAATTTGTAAATTTACATATGACATAAGAAAATGTCACAAGAATGCTACGTTTAATCACCTATATATTTATCGACGAATTTAGACTATTAATGCATAACCGCCCCCCACAAGTATTGACAATTAAGAATTCATATGTACAAGCATTTAGGCGATTGAAGGTAACACATGTCAAAACATGTTAAGTGATGAAAAAGAAAGTAATATGTCTTACTTTAGAGTCGTGAGGGCCTTAGATATAGCCCTTAGGTGAGACCCTATCTCTTAATCATTTGATCAAATTGGTTAATCTGATCCAATAATTAAGAGATAGAATCTCATTTAAAGGTCATATATAAGACCCTCACTATAGAATTCTTGCTTACTTCAGCACAACTTGGGCTTGCTTTTAGTTTGCTCCTATAAGTCTCTTGGCCTCAAAGTGGGAAAGAGAGAGCCCAAATTTTGGGCTCCGTTATTCCTTCACTTGTGGGTCGAAACGCGTACGTAAATGAAACGGGTCGCAGTCGTTTTGGTAGGAAACTCTTAACAAATATAAAACCCTAATTCTAATTCCCGTAAAAATGGCCTAAAACCCCAGCTCACCTCTTCGGTCATTTGGTCACAGAGCTTTCTCTTTCTTCTTCCTGAAACAGAGAGATGGTGTGGTTTCAGTGTGAGGATTGTGGAGACAACCTCAAGAAACCCAAGTTGCCGGGTCACTTCAGGTCCTGTTCTGCTCGCAAGGTCTCCTTTTTCCCGATCCTCATTACCTGGGACTCGCTGTTTGGTTGCCAAGAAAATATAGGCCTTAATAAAGTCCTAGTCTTTAACTTATTTTCTGGGTTGCTCACTTTGTTAATATTTTTTATGTTTCAGCTATCATGCATTGATTGCGGAGAGATGTTTGGGCAAGAAAGCGTTCAGAGTCACACACAATGCATTACTGAGGCAGTAAGTCTCTTATTGTTTTCCTATCTAATAATTTGATCGAATTGGCTTTGGTTGGGAGATTTTTATGAATTGGGTTATGCATTACAGTCTAAATGCAATGCTACAATTTATATAATTAAAATATCTCATTTCATTTTCCATGTCCATTGGACCAATATCTACTACTTAATGTTGGGAAAAAATAGTTATTATATCGGTTATAAGCTTCAGTTTGGTATACAGTGTATTTCTTTGTTTTTGCTTTCAGGAAAAATATGGTCCAAAGGGACAAGGGAAAGCTTTGAATGGTGGGGGAGCCAAGCCCAACAAGGATTCAAAACAGCAACCTGATTTTGATATTACTGTTGGGTTATCTAAACGCTTTCCGTGGTTTTGTAGGTATTGTTTTCCTTGTTCTGATTTTATGATAATCTTTTATTCACATGCTTGTTCAGACCTAAAATTAATCAATGTAATGAATTTCCTTGGAAATGCGTGCATATTTTTATTAAATGTTTGTGTGCATTCATATTGCTGCTGCTGGCCATAGAAAGCAATGGTGCAAATTGCTAAATTAGTTTGTTTTGAATAAATGCATCATCTGTTGTAGATATGAAACATGGAAGAGTTGGAGAAGAGACAATACACTTTGACATAATGATTTTGGTACTACCAACTATTACCAACTATCTTCACAATAAAATATGCATGATACATTATTAGCCTGGTATTCAGAGATTGCATTCAGTTTTCTTTCCATGATAGGGATCTGATCATACTTTTCTGGATATGTGTTTTTGCAGTCTTTGCAATACTAAAGCTACTAGTGAGCAGACCCTGCTGCTCCATGCCGAAGGAAAGAAGCACAGGGCAAGAGCCCGAGCAATCCACGCTGCAAAGCAACAGCCTAAGCAGCCGGAAGAATCTGCCCTGGATACAAAACCTACACCTGAGAATAAACAAATTGAGGAACCTAAATTGCAGGATGCATCTAGAGTCAATGCGGAGCAAAACAGTTCTGAAGCAGGGAATGGAACTTTGTTGTCAGAGAAAAAGAGAAAACTTGATGCATCCAAGAATGATGAATCAAGGAAGAAGGCTAGGGATAATACATCAGATGAAGTGATTCAGAGTGGGAAGACAGAAGCAAATGGAAAGGAGAGTCAGTTGGAGAAAGATAAGTTGGTGGAATCTAGCTCTGCTAAGAATGAATCCAGTATGAAAATAAAGTGGAAGAAGTTGATCACATCAACCTTAAAATCGGTATGTATTCTGAATAACATCATTTCTTGCTTTCCAGTAAAATTGCGCAATGAATTATGCCACTTTAGAAAAGGAAAAAAGAAAGAAAAAGAAAGTAATACTCATCCTCTTTCTTTATAGCATGCATTAGCGAAAAGAGCGCTATGGCATGAGAAAAGACGCACTTTCCATTCCTTAGGATGGAGAGTCAGAGACCATTATTAGAGTAGAAAACAGTTTTGTTTCTATATATACTAAAATCTGCTTTTTGTATGCATTGGTGCAGAATGACGGAGTCCTAAAGATGAGGAAATTGAAAAAACTTGTTCTGAAGGCTATTGAAGAATCGGGCATAACAGATGATGAAGCCAAATTGAGTGATATGCTTGATCACAAGGTTTGCCTATCCAATGTTTATTTAGTACTTTCAATTAAATGGTATCTATTAATCATTGGCTCCACCTTTACATTATTATTTTTAATCATATTACTTGTTTGGTGCCAGATCAATTCAAGCTCCAGATTTAAAGTTGAGAACAAGCATGTTCATTTGGTGGCCAAGGATTAAAATACAGTTTGAAGTGGAGTGACTGGAAATCAGTGTAGTGTCTCCTTTGCAGCCTTGCCGCCCCTGGTTGGCTAGAACCTCATTCAAATTCAGAATCAAATGCAGATGGTTGGCTGTAACCTTTTTTTGTATGCAAAGTTTTTTTTTATGCGGTTTGTATTCAGAGTTACAAGTCTAGGACTCATATTTTTTCTTCTGTTTGAAAAGTTTTCAGAAGAAATATCATTGTCATTAATTATTCAATTCTATATGAATCAGACAGACATTGTGATGATTTTCTCATAATACAAGATCCATTCTTAACTTACCTGTCTCTGGACACATTTTTTAATCCAGCCTGGCTTTATGGTTGGTCCCTCCCTCTTAGTTCTTTTTTATTATTGAGGTTAACAAACAAACCAAAAAATGAAAAAGAAAGTCCAATTTGGTTGAGAATTCTATTAATCCTAGTTGGCTGGCCGAGGAAAACGGTTTGAATTAGGTGTTGTCGTATATAAAAACAGCTGGGAGGCCCCTGCTCAAGTGTTCTTCGTTCGTCAAGCCCAAAGCATAAGCAGTGTTTTTTCATTCAGAATAAGAAAAGATGTCAGATTCGAAATCAAAGATAAACAGAGAAGCAGCTGGAGGAGGAGAGAAGGGAATTACCCTTATCGTGAGGTTAACGGTTTTTTTTGGGGGTTTCAGTTTTTCAACCACTATGAACTAAGGTGGCGGTAACCTCAGAAATATGAACGTCCATAATGGTCAAGTTCTGCGTTTAAAGATAAAGATAAAGACGCATGAATCAAACTCGCGAACTGGGAATGCCTTGATCACAGCTCTATATACCTCTATAAAGTTGTATAATTACAATGTTTACAAACACAATCACTCAATATGAAAATGGTATTGTAGCTCATCATCATCCAAGCTGGTAGTAAGTATAGACGTATGAAGGTTCTCTTCACCTTTTTCTTCTTTCTTTTACGTCCCTCTTGACGAAAAAGTGTTAGTATCTGTGTACTTAAAAGTCCCTTCCAATTCAACTATGCTTTCTTCATGCTTGCAAAGATGATGTTAGCACATTTTACATCCGGTTGACAAAGGCTAGAATATCCGAAACAATGCTATAATCAACAGCACAACAGAACAAGCTAGTGCCTGCAACAATTGGATAATTATACTGATTAACTCTCTGAAACACAGTTGAAAATATAAAATTTAAGGCTTTAAAGAAAAATGTTAGATAGGATGAGAGAGATACAGCAATTGCAGAGGCAGCCAGTCCTGCTCGCTCCCTCGGATCCTTGCGATAGTAATTTCCAAAATACAGAACTGTAGCATAGTACCACATCACTGGGAAGACAAAGCCTAAAAGAAAACTGCAGTGCAAGAAATAGGAATGAGACAAGGGAAGGGGTAATGAAAATAAAGGAGGAAGAAGGTATTAAAGATACTCACGAAAACCATCCTATCCCGCAGCCAAAGCATGGAAGCTGCTTCTCGTACATCCCTGATGAAAAGTCCTCTGCATCTCGAATTAGGGTATACCTGCCTTTTTCAGGATCTGCAGCATCTGTTGCTTGCCCTACCATGACCATAATACCTCTCACTTGTCTGGATAAACAGTTTGTATAAAAGATCCAGTTGCTATAAAGATCTTGTTTATGCACAGAAAGTAGAAATTATATGCATTTCGGATCAGATTAATGATTTTTGTTAAATAAAAACTGCATGTAAGCCCAATGATAAATCAGCAGAGTCTGAGAGCAGAACCATCAATTCTAGAATGCCGTGAATTACATTGAAAATCCAAATCAACAGACAATGCCTTTCCCTCTAATAGGATGTAAGCAAGCTGATTAAGCTTTTAACATGCAACCAGATATACATTAAAAAAGACAGAACACTTAAAATGTCATTTCTTAAAGAATTACAGACAATAGGGTCAGCCAAAAAAGGAAGATTCATAGGGTTACCGAGATAACAAACACACTCCATAGTCCATGAGAGGAAGATTCATAATTGTCACAGATAAATGTGAAAGCACTTATACGTTGCAAAGTCCAAAACAGGATTGGCAAAAAAATTGTCCAAACAGATTGCTACCTTTAAAAACTGAATAATATCGGGCTGATGGTCTCAAAAGTTGCTTTTCAGAGGAGGATCTCACTAGCTCAAGGTCGTTTCTCAAACCCTCTGCCGAAGCATCTGCAACACCAATAAATCTTGTATCAGAGTTAGGAAGTAGTGGAACTAGAGACTGATCATGTTAACTTGGCCGTTTTAGTTCTGAATAAGTGAATATATAGGCATCATTTATCATATACAAAGAACAGTAAGCAATAATAAATCAACGGAAGTTTGAGTACTTTGATCCATGTATGCTAGTGCAGATGAATATGAGTTGTCAAAAGTCCTCACTTGCCACACCTCAATAAACCTGTTTCACAAAATTACAATCTCACTTCAGATCCAATTTATCCCACAAATTTTTTGTTCATGATCAGTGAGAAACCATTCATCTTTACTTGCTTGCAGATGAAACAGAAAACAACCAATGCAAAAGTTACAAGCTTGCACTATAGTTTGTAATTGCCTGTGGCTAAACAAGCCCTCCCTTATTATGGTTCAAAATCATTCAGAAACCACCTTTCTCAGAGCATCTAAATCCATTAATCATAACTAATTAAAGCATACTAAGTAATCATTAGCTTCAAAATGGAACCGAACACAGGGGCTGGTCCCAGTACCATTTGCTAATAATCCAGCTGAGGTGGCAATACAACACAAAATTTCCATGGTACTATAATCAACAAGTACTTGGGTCAACGACACCTTAGTTCTTGGGTCTTCAAAAAAATTTCATTCTTAAAGGTCTGTATGTACAAATCCATATGTGTTGCAAAACCTCCCACAAATTTCAAATCAAACCACAGTTTAGTTGCAGCGTGTATGTACCAAATTGCGGCACATCCCATTTCAGCTCATAAATCGTCAAAATGAGAAATCTAAACTACGGATACTACAGAACACAGTCATATCGTATAAATTGAAAGGATTAACAAAAAGTTTTGCAAAAGCACCAAGCTTTATCAACATCCCAACAAAACCCAGAAGATAAAAACAGATATTCAATCAAATCAATCATGAAATAGAGCATTACAGACAGGAAAAACTGGAAGAGGAACTTACGTATGAATTGCAGGACCTGAGAAGCAAAATCCTAATGAATTTTCCTCCACAGATCACAAATTGAGAGGGGAGGAAAGAAAGAGGGGTCTTTGTGTATTTGAGAGGTCTTCTACATGTCAAGCAAGGCTTCCCTTCAGCATTAAACAACTGAAAGCTAAGAAAATTGACTTCCCCGCTGTCTCTTGTCTTTTAGAAAAAGAAAAAAGAAAAAGGACATAACCATTTTTTTTTGGGTCTGAGAAAATGATATAACCATTTACATACTTATCAAGAAGTATTTTTTATTAAATATTGTTATTTTGCTTTGTATAAATAAATATTTCTTGAGTAGTGGTTAAAATTATTTGCAGAATGTTTGGTAGAGGAATCATCAAATTTGATTGGCCAGTAGCTCAAAAGACAACTAAGCCCTCTCATTTTTCTGCAAAACTTTGGAATATCATTGGTCAGAGGCTTAGGCCTTAGAGCGTCCACCGTTGACATGTCGTTTTCCATCTTTTTTATTTTTCCAGTTTTTGCTTTCAATATCGCCGCTGGCAATGATTGTCTAGATTTTTATTCTTGTAACAAGAGTTTTGTTTATTTAAAAAAAAATATATATATATATATATACTTTGTTTTTTTTTTAAGGAAACATGAGGTTGGACGCCCACTAAAGCCCAAGCATAGGAATATCAATTGGAAACCATTTTTAATTTTTAATACTATTTTAATTTCTTACAAAAATAGACCTTCTTTCATATTTTAGTGTATATATATATTCTAGTAAAACTATTTATACGACATTTACTCACTATATTATTATTGGTCATATGTAGTAATATATTTTATACTAACGAGCTCTTAGTTTAGTGATATTATACTTTATACTAACGAGCTTTAGTAAATTGTCTCAATTTTAATTTCCCTCTTCAATAACAAAAACAAGCAATATAATACATATAAATTTAATACAAATAACATCACTATTATCATCATTTTCTTTTTAAGGATATGGTATTTATGATTGGTGCATTTGGCCCCCTACAATATTATATATCAATGTGATTAACAGACTCACACCATATGAACAACAAGGGTCCTATTAATATCAGAGATGTTTCATGCTTCTGGTGGATCCACCTGTAAATTCATTACAACTCAACACATGCCACATGAGAATTAATTCTGGCTCTTCTTTTTTCCTTCTTATTACTTGTTTTTATAGAACGATAATCTACTTTAACCTAATCTAAACTACGGAGAGGGGGATTTGAAGTCGGGTGCATAGTAGAGAGCATATCCACTTTAGCCAACTTAACTAAACTCATGTATGCAGCAAAAAAATAATAATATTGGGGACAAAAACGTTATGGCCTTGTAGCCTAGCAGATTGTAGTTGCTTGAATTAAGATTTGCATTCAGGCATAAAGAAATTCATCGACAGTCCAACAACTGATATTATATGCATTCTTTTGTGCCTAACCACTTACCAAATAGAACAAGAACACTAGAGAAGTAAACTTGAATCAATGGGAAAAGTTGAGGGCCATTTTGGCCTGGTGGTGGTTAGCTTGATCTACAGATTTAAGGATAACTATATCCCAACAATCACATTTTGGTTGTTAAAGGAGTCAGTAGCTTCTCAGAACTTTTTACCTGGCCGCCCTTAGTTTCTGATTGGTCAACAAATGCAGTGTCCTTAACATTTTCATCATCCAAAGCAAAGGGAATAGGGGGTTAAATATCCTCCAAGCAACTTAGCTTGCAAGATGTGGTGAATTGAGCTTTTCTTTAGTTTTCTTTTTCTTCATCCTTTTTGAATTTCAATGAACGTTGCTTGCAACTTGCAAGTTGGTGATCACATTGTAAAGTCTAATCTAAAGGACCAAGGAACTTGTTTTATGTAGAAGCATAAAACTATGACCAGATAGCGAGTAGAAAGACGAGAGAGCTCTTCACCACTTAAGATGCAAGTCCTCGTGCTGTGCTATTTTTATTTTATTTCAATTATGGCTGCATATGTAGAGATATTTGTTCCTATATACCACATCACCTTGACATTTGAAACTGAAAAACTAAAATCAGTGTCTCTATACTATTTCTTCCGACCATTCTCAAACTCCGAAAAATAGTTTCATCTTTATTTCAATACCGGAGCTATATTGACAGAGAGGGGAGCCGAACACCAAAGATCGAGTAGAAAGATGAGAAAATTTTTAATCACTTAAGATACAAGTCGTGCCGGTGTGCTATTTTAATTTTAGCTGCATATGTAGAGATACTTGCTACTCGTACATTGGGTCACATATAGAGGAACCAAATCAGCCCAAAACAGCCCAGACCAATTCAGGTATATCTAGTAGAAGAAGAAGCCCATGAAAGCTTTACAAGTAAAAAGCCACAGTTGCTCAATGGTCAGTAGCCAAGTTAGGGCCGTATCTGATAATATCAAGGTCTCTCTGGAACGCCACGTTCGAGAGTCGACCTTAGAATTCAACATACACACAGCCACTGCGTAGCCAAAGCCACGTTTCCTCTTTTGTCACTTTTTTCCTTCTATTTATTCACCTCTTTTTTCTCTCTGTGTCCTCTGCGATCATCATTGAGCTTTGGATAGTTGAAGATGGGGGATGAAGGGGGTTCCTTACACGTGTCAAACGATAATAACGGTATTGATCATGACAACGGTGATCAGAGCCGTATACTGGACATATACCCTCTCAGTTCCTATTACTTTTCCTCCAAGGAAGCCCTTCCTATCAAGGACGAGTCTGTAGCTGATCGTCTTCAGAGAATGAAGTCCAGGTACTAATTTTTTAATTTTTGTGTGTATTCAATTGGGTTTCTTTTATTTTCACTAATTTGTACTCTTTTTTTTTGGCTTCAAAGTGCTAACTTTTCTGTTTTTGTGGCTGTTTAAATATAGCTATGCTGCTTATGGATTGAGGACGTGCGTGGAGGCAGTTATTTTGGTTGGTTCTCTGTCCTAATTCAACAAGTTTTACTTCTTTATTTATCTTTGATTTATTTATAAATATTTAGGAGGTTGAATTTATTTGACATTCGAATGGGGATCATTAGATTTATGAACCATCAAATTGATCTTTAAGAATTTACATGAATTCTGCTTCTTGATTGCTAGTAGTTTCTTAGACTTCTCTGTTGCAGAATTTGATATTGGCTTCTTCATAAGTGAGCTGAAAAAGATGTGATTGTTGTGAGCTCAGGTTGAGTTGTTCAAACATCCGCATATACTGCTGTTGCAAGTAAGAAATTGCATGTTTAAGCTTCCGGGGGGTCGCTTAAGGCCTGGTGAATCAGGTGATTCATCAGCTTTCTTGAACTGAGCACTAAGAAATTCTTGTTAGGTTTTACTAAACTCTTGGATTTGTTCGAACTCGCAGAGATCGATGGATTGAAACGGAAGCTATCAAGGAAACTTTGTGTCAATCCAGATGCTGATGGGATTCCTTGGGAGGTATATAGAACATGGAATATATATCTTCCTTTTTTTTTGGTGCATTGAAAAATTGTTTGAATGTTTAGGTAGGGGATTGTCTTGGGGTATGGTGGAGGCATGATTTTGGCACATTGCTCTGTCGGGACTTGCCCTCTAAAGTTAAAAACCCAAAGGTAGCTCCTCTGGTCTCCTATTCACATGTCTTAATTAAGAATCAACTAACTACATGACGTGGCAATTGATCATACTTATTGATGTATAAGTACAGATTAACTGTCATATTATGTCATCACTTAATGGGGTACGAAAATATGGTTCCCCTCCTAAAACAAGGCTTCAACTGGGTGGCTAAGAAGCACGATTTCTTATGTTTATCTCATTCTGTAGGAGTGCACGAAACTGTTTATTGTGAGGCTCCCAGACTGTCGGAAGTTCGTTGCGCCGAAAAACCTAAAATTGCTTGCTATTCCATTGTGCCAGATCAATAAAAATCAGGAGGTAATGAGCTTGAAAATGGTGCGGTACATGCATATATATGAGTGTTTATATCTGTGATCTGTTTGATGGAGATTGAATCATTCTACTGTTAACTGTTATTGATTGTTGTATTGTGTAGACGTATGGACCTGTTATATCAGGTGTTCCGGAGATGCTATCAAAGTTCACCATCAACATCATCGAAGATTGAAGATTGAGATAAACTCGATCGCCATTGTAGAGTGGACCGTATGGTATGCAGACGACGATCAGCTGTAACAGTATGTAAGTTGGAGAAAGGTTGTTCCCTGGGCATCTATTTCTCATGAAATTTTGCCAAATGCTTGTATAATGTATATATAGTATAGATTTCTAAAGGGAACAATCGTGTGTTGAAGACAGCAAACATAAATGATACTTGTTATGTTTGGCTTGAGTTTTCATTCTTTTCTGACAAATTATTATTCCGAAAACCTCTTGTATTTCTCCGATCTTGCTGAACAACTAAATATTTTGTCTCTGAATATGATCAAAAGAGAGGCTGGCTGAGACCTAAGATACAAAGCCTGAAGCGGTCAGCCTCAGTGTAACTTAAATTTCATGGCTATCCAATTGAACTCTGCCCTGGTGCTTTTTTGATGCAGTTTTCCCTCATCAAATCTCTGACTTTCTCAACTTCATCCCACCTGCCTTCTTCTGCATAAATATTCGACAGCAGCACATAATTCCCCGAATTCCATGGTTCGAGATTGATAAGCTCTTTAGCTGCAAGTTCCGCGAGCTCTACCTCACCGTGAGTAGAGCAAGCACCAAGCAATGCACCCCATAAGGTAGCATTTGGCTTCATAGGCATGCTCTTAATCAGGTCATGAGCCTCCTTCAGCCGTCCACTTCGCCCAAGAACATCAACCATACATCCATAATGCCCTAGTTTTGGCTCAAGCTGGTGACTTACAACCATTGAAGCAAACAATTCCTTTGCTTTTTCCACCAAGCCTGCATGGGCACAACATGTTAAAACCCCCACAAAAGTTGCATCATTTGGTCCCTCACCTTTGTTCATCATCTTCTCAAACAAGTCGATCCCAAGTTCACCTCTCCCATTAAAAGCATACCCTGAAATCAGAGTGTTCCAGGAAACAACATTTTTACGAGGCATTTGGTCAAAAATACTACAAGCAGCATCCAAATCTCCCCATTTACAGTAAAAGTTTATAAGTGAGTTCCCCACAGATACAACTTGTTTTAGAAGTCCTTTAGAATCTGTATAGGAATGTATCCATTTCCCAACCTCAACATCTCCTAAATGAGCACAAGCAGGCAAAACTGCAACCACGGTCGCCTCGTCTGGTTCGAATCTCTGATCCAACATCTCACGGAAAAGTTCTAAAGCTTCACTATCCCGCCCACACTGCGTTAAGCACGAAATCATTGAGTTCCAAGAAACAACGTTCCTTTCACCCATCTGCCTAAACAAATACAAACCCGTATCCACATCACCAGTCTTGCAAAACCCACGAACCATCAAATTCCAAACAATCACATCTCTGTGAGACAACGCATCAAACACCTTCCTAGCATCCTCCATTTTTCCACAATTAACATACAAATCAATAACCCCAATGCGAATCGAACTAAAGCATTCAAACCCAACTCTCAAAATTTGTCCATGAACACACTGCCCTAACCTGTGGTCACAAATATTCGAGCACGACTTGAGCAACGGCGCATAAGTGTACTCATCGGGGCAAATGCCGCGGTCTTTCATAAGAGAGAACATGTAGAGAGACTGTTCAAAGGGTTCACAGATTGAAAAGCCCTTGATCATGGAATTGAAGAGGAGGATATTGGGGTTGTGGGTTTGGTCGAACATGCGATTTGCGTAGCTCATTTTGTCGAGTGACCAACAAACGGAGACAAAGTGGGCGAGGACTTGGTTGAATTGGCCAAGGCCATGGCGAAGGAGGTGGCCGTGGATTTGGCGGAGATGGGTTCGGGTTTTGCGGCCGTGGAGGAGGCTGAGAACCCTCCGCTCAGCCTCACGGCAAGCTTTGCTCATGGTTTTTTTAGCTTTATTCTTTGTAGTGTGAAGCTCAGAATTACCAGTCGAAATTTGATGAAGTTAGGATGGTTGGCGGGAATCGGTGGTTAAATGGTTACTGCTGTTATTTGAAAAGGCAATGAGATTTAACGACGATTCAGACGGCGTCGTTTAATAAATAAAGACGCATGTCTCTAGCCTTCTAGGATATCATATTGTTGCCTTTGACTCAGAAAAAGAAAAAAGAAAAAGGGATATAATCTTGAATCTTTTATTTATTTATTTATTATTTCTCGGAGATTTGAGTTATTATGGATAAATAATTATTTGTAGAAAAATCCCATAACTGTGGGAGGATTCTTTATCTTGATCGCTCTCATGTTGTATTTGTAAACACAAATCTAAAACAAATGACACTAAAATCGTGCTAAAGAGCTCTAAAACCTTCACATTCATATATAGCTTTACTTTCAATTCACGTAACACTTATGTGCGCATTACATCATTGCATTCGAAATTAATTATATGGTATAGTCTTTCACATATACATAAGCAATCAAAATTCATAGTTTTACTTTCAATTCATGTAACACTTAAGTGAGCATTACATCATTGCATTCGAAATTAATTATATGGTATAGTCTTTCACATATACTTTTATGAGCCTTTATATTTAGGCAAAAAGTCACTTGTAGTCTTTGTAGTTTGCCGATTTTACCACTTGGGTCATTGTAGTTTTCAATTTAAAGTAATTGAAGCACACATTTCAATTTCTGTCAAAATTCCTCTTAATTCATTTAAATTTGACCATGTGCCACTAATGTAGAGGGCTATTTTGGTCAACTCAAGCTAAAATTCCTCCCAAATTCCTTCAAATTTGCCAAAATTTCAACTTGGAGATGTAATTTTATAAATAAAAAAATAAAAAAAAATCTATCCCAAAATCACGCCTAAAGTGAATGAGAAGATATCTAGATTGTGTTCTTTTGTTAGATGGGTCAAATGAACCTCTATGTGAAAGGCACGTGGTCAAAACTTAAGTTAATTTAGAAAAAAATTAATATAAATTAAAATGCTTCCTTGAATTATTCAAAATTTAACTACAAGAATAAAATTAACAAAATTAAAATTACAACCCCGAAAAGTAAACTTTTGCCTTATATTTGTATATATGTTGTGGTCTTGTTTGATACCAATCATACTTCTATTATGACCAAATATAGAATCATACTTCTTGTGCCGACAATCCTCTTCATCCTTATCCAAAAAAGGTGACAACTAAAATAATGTTGGCAACGACAACAGAAATCAAGACACTGCTTCAATTATTACCCTACTTGGCCTTTACCACTTGAAGGTCACTTCAGCTTTCCTTTATCCTCTAGGCCATTGTTGTTTTATTCTACCTTTTTGGTTTGCCCATTTCTTCTCCTTGATAATGCAATATTTTCAATTACCCTAATCTCTTGTCCATTCGGTATAAAAAGTGAATATTTTATGTTAGTTAATTGACTTAACTCACGTATGTTTTATATTTTTAGTATTTTAGATGGACGAACATAATCAACTCACACATCTTATATTTTTATTGTTCTAGAAAGATGAACATATTGTCATGACCTACTAACGTAATATGTGTGCACCAATATTTTTGTTGTCATTGTGGCCTCACAAAGCCAACTAACAATCAACTATTCAAAGAAAGTGTGAACAAAGATAGATCACCATCTATAATTTTTGGAGTCTATACCCATCCATATCAGTCAAGCGTGTGAACGTGGCATGACAATGCATATCATTTTTACAGTCACTCGCGTGTTTTGACCTTTCCTTTTGCATTTTTTCCTAAAACAAATAATGAAATGAAGCCACCTACTTTCCAAAGTCTGATAAACAAAAAACAAATGAAAAAAAAGGTCAAAGAATGTTCTATTTCAAGCTACTAATTAAAACCAGTAATCAGGTAAATTTTCAATTCAATGTACTGATCAACTATAGGATATGTCATTCCAAACAGCATTACAGTATATAAATAAAAGAATGCCAAAAAAGAAGAAGGAAACAGTGTGGAAAACTGGGGGCGCAGAAAGAAAGGTCAACGGTCCCATCTTCTTCCCCAGTTGCTGTGTGAAAGGTCGAGTGTTCTTCAACAATTTCCAAACTTTTCCAACCAACAGGAGCAACACTAGTTATAGTCAAAGTGGTCCCTCCTTGACTATTATTATTTAATTAAAAATAGACTTCTTGATCGATAGTATAATTCTGAAAATTTCCAAGAGACTCACTTCAACTCTGAGTCTAGACTCTGGACAAAAGCAGAAAAACGAGCAAACAAGCTCAAGGGCTCAAAGCTCGAAGAGTCATCATGAAGAAGGGAAACTTAGGACTTAACCTCAAGCTCACTCTCCCTCCTCCTGATGAAGTTTCCATCTCTAAGTTCCTGTAACTCTCTTCTCTTCCCTTCCCTTTCTTTATCAGTCTCTGCGTTGTATATTATATATGTATTGTATCTAATTAAGTTGAGTTGTGGGTTTTTTGGTATGGCAGGACAAAAAGCGGCACGTTTATGGATGGCGATCTCCTGGTTAATAGGGAAGGGGTTCGGATCGTTTCTCATAGAGAAGTTGAAGTTGTAAGATACTTTTCAAAGATCATAACTTTTTTTCCCAGAAATTTCTTTTTCAATTTTGTGAAATGTAAAAATTGAATCTTGGAAGTGAACTGGGTTGGGTTTTGCCAATCTGATCAACATTATTAGCATTTGGCATATGGGGTTTGCTTATCATTCAAAGCTCATGCACTGTGAGTCTGTGACTTGTAAGTTTTATATAAGAAAGAAGGCTTTTTTTTAATGTGTTTTTCTTTTTGGTTGTAAATGTGAATGTAAATGCTCAGCCACCGCCTATTCAGCCATCAGACAATCAGATTATTTTAGCAGATCTGTACGTGATTAAAGTCATTGGAAAAGGAAATGGTGGGGTTGTTCAATTGGTTCAACACAAATGGACTGGCCAGTTTTTTGCACTAAAGGTATTACACAAGGCCCTTTCTTTTCCTAGTCAAATTACTCCTTGTGTACCATAAGATAAGAAGATGTATAGTTGTTCCCCTAACTATGCCATAAGTAGCATTCTTGTGTTTGAGTGAATAAAGAGGGAAGATCTTTGAGTTCATATTGCTTTGTTATACCCATTGTGTTTTGAAATTTACATTAGTAAGAATTGTAACGTTTCCGGGTGGCTCAACTGCTTTGGATGGTTGATTCTGCGTGGACTTGCTTATCTTCATGCTTTTGTAGACTGTAGAGCTATCCAACAATATGCCTTTGGGATGTTGTGCGTATCCTATTGTTTACTTCATGTTCTCCTTGCTCTAGTAGTTTTTTGATGCATTTTCCCACATTCAGGTAATTCAAATGAATATTGAGGAGTCAATTCGCAAGCAGATTGCACAGGAATTGAAAATTAATCAATCATCACAATGTCCCTACATTGTTGTATGTTACCAGTCTTTCTATGATAATGGTACCATTTCAATAATCCTAGAGTACATGGATGGTGGCTCTTTGGCAGATCTTCTGAAAAAGGTCAAAACAATTCCAGAGCCGTATCTTGCTTCCATTTGTAAGCAGGCAAGTTACCTGACATTCATGTGCAGTCCTGAAACTCTTGGTCTTTGTGATAAACATCAATTAAAACATGTTTTCTCCCTTTCTTATTGATGCAGGTGCTGCAGGGTTTGTTGTATCTTCATCATGAAAAACACATCATTCACAGGGACTTCAAACCTTCTAATTTGTTAATCAATCATCAAGGAGAAATTAAAATAACTGACTTTGGTGTGAGTGCAATAAAGGCAAGCACTTCCGAACAGGCAAATACTTTTGTTGGCACATTCAACTATATGTCGGTGAGTAAAAATACAGTAATTATATTGCTTTAACAAACGTCTTGTTTCTCTATTATCCAGGGGTATTGAGGTGCAGGCCAGCCTATTATGCCAACTCATGGAACTAACTATTTCTGTTAACATTTGTTTTGTAGCCAGAGAGAATTGTTGGTGGCAATTATAGTTACAAAAGTGACATCTGGAGCTTGGGTTTAGTACTGCTGGAGTGTGCAACAGGTCAATTCCCATATTTACCACCTGATCAAGCTCGATTATGGGATAGCTTTTTTGAGCTTATGAGTGCCATTGTTGAACAACCACCACCTTGTGCACCTGCTGATCAATTTTCTCAGGAGTTCTGCTCATTTATTTCTGCATGGTAAGGGTTATTTTTCCTCATTCATTACTAACTTGGCCAGATTCTGAAAATAAGCTACTTGGTGTAACTATCTGAAGAATCATTTAGAATAATTGTGTTCCATTTTAAGAAGCAGGAAGCATGGCCATGCTTTCTGTTCATTTGGTTATGTGTTTGTGAGCCTGTTTAACTTGTAAATTTTGGTGAACATTTCCCTCTTGTAATCACATTGATAATCATATAAATCTTCACATTCCTATCTAATAATTTTAGGCTCGTAATAGCATTCTTGGAACAAGTAATTTTCTGTGGTTGTATTAATTTCTTTTCATGCACTATTTGTTTTTTTCTTTGCCCTTTCCGTCCATTCCAAAATGATTGGAACATGCCCCAACACAATTTGTGGTTCATTTAACTTCTATTTGTTTTTGGCCAGATTTAACTTCTGCTTGTCCGTGGTAGATTTTGTAGTCATTTGTTGTCTGTTAATGAAGTTGCTATTCCTAAATTTGCTGACATTTGTTTGTTTTCTATTTATCTCAATTTTTTGCTTTCTATTTAGTGAGGTTACTAATCCTACCTTGTGGGTCTTTTCTTTATCTCAGTGTACAGAAAGATCCTAAGGATAGATCTTCAGCTCAGGATCTCCTAGTATGACCTATGAAACCCTTTGAACCCTTTCAATGTTGATGTTACAAGTTTGCTGGACTTTGTGGATACTTACAATCTGATGTGGTTTTCGTTTTCTTTTTCCTTTTTTGTTTGATTTCAGACACATCCTTTCATCAACATGTACGACGACTTGAATATTGACCTTGCCTCTTACTTCAGTGAAGCAGGATCTCCCCTTGCAACGTTTTAAAACCTATCTGGTACGTTCAAATCTTGAGTTCAGTCCAAATCTTGGATTCATTAGTGGAACTGAAATACAAAAGTTCCTTACTTTTCCATAATAAGCTCATATAAGTGTAATTTTCTCTCATGGACGACGACTCTTAATTCTATTTCCTTGCGAATCCATGGAACGATTGGATCGTAGAATGATTCTTCTGCTCTCCGTGCTGTCAATTCCAGGATGTGTATTTTTGTAATTGAGACAAATAATTTTTGAGTTTTGAATTTATGACTCCTTGCGAACTAGTCATACCTATTCCTGCCATTTGTTTGTACTCTCTTAGACCTAATTGTAGTATGAACCACATCAATGAAAGATATAGACCCTTTTCCTTCAAAATCAAACCTACTGTATGATTTTATCAGACTTTCATTTAATTTGTTCGTACTTATGTTAATCACTGTTTAATCATTGGTTAATCTTGTAATTATTCTATTCACTTAGTCATGAATGTTTATATATAAATAGGGCAGCAACTTAGTGATGAACAATTAGCCCCCTCATTTGTAATTAGTGATTATCAATCAGTATTTTCTTCAATAGGGCAACTGGTATATAACACTCTTGCAGTTCCTCAAGGAAAACGGCAACCAGAAGTTCATACGCATTCCTGATGGATTGGGGTTATTGGTGTCAAATTGTTAGACAATCAACCAAGGAAGAGAGGCAGAAAAATAAGAAAAGAAGAAGAGTAGAACACCACTGTGGTAAATTACTGGAATTTCTGTTTATGCACAAATTAATATAACCAGAACTAAGGAAAGGCGGACAAAATGAAAAAAAAATATATTGAGAGGCTATAATTGAGCATTGACCATTTCTTTATGCAGAGTAGTTTTCATAACTACACCCAACCCAGGTGAAAAACTTATGGGCTGAGCCACTCTTTACTGATTATAATCATCTAATAATATACTGGCATATCTCAGATTCCAATCTCAGTTGCAGTTAGGTTTTTCTTTTAAACTTCCTTGTTGCTTTCAAGTCTACCACCACTACAGTGATGTTGTCTTTGCTCCCCTTTTGCAAGGCAAGCCTTGAGAGATAATCTGCTGCAGCTTGAGCAGCAGGATCAACTCCCTCACCCCTTTCCATTGACATGGTGGTATCACCATACTTTTTGTGCCACAAAAGGATCCGCCTTCGTGCAATATCGCAGGCCTCCTGGTTTGTCATGAAATCCCATAACCCGTCGCTGGCTAGAATAAGGCACTCGTCTTCCTTTTCTCGAGAAACAAACACTGCTTCTGGATCCGGAATAATCCACGGTTTCAAGTATCTGTCCCCTGATACGATTGAATATCATCATCAGCATGAGATCTGAATCTGAATGGTCTAACGTATTCAAACTCAAACCATGTATACAAGCATAGTAAATTTTAGTGTTCCATTTCTGACGGAAGATAAAATAGAATGAGTTTCGAACTCATACCTATGGACCTTGACATTGCAAGAACACCAAATACACGAGAACCATTCCACTGGATGACTTTGCCTCCTGCAGCCTCTATCCTTGCACATTCATCTTCTCTATTTGGCTAAAAGCAGAACAAAAGCTAATCAGTCTATCTAGAAATGTCAACTTCAGTTATGAGCTGAAAATAAAAAAGATATAATGAAACTATATAAATTAGAGGCCTTACCTTGTGGTCTACTGACAATGGCACAGCCACTTTTCCTCTGCATAATACTGCTCTTGAGTCACCACAATTTGCCACTATGATATGGGTTGGACAGATAACGGTGACTACAGCAGTAGAACCGACAGTTTCAGGAGCAATAGGTTGGAGATCATAGTCACCAGAAGTACAAGTGTTGCTCACATTCGTGCCTTTCGGAGGTCCTCCAATCTCAGCATCCACTTTCAAGAAACAATTGGAGAAAGCCTCCTTCCACTGCTCCTGCCAACCTTCACCAGTACTTCTGTCACGCAAGCTTGCTTTTGCAGTTTCTATCTCTTCAGCCAATGCAGAATGTACACGTTCGCGACAATAGTTAGCAACCTACAGAAGAATATCTACTTAATTAAAAGAATCCGACTTGAAAAATCCCTTGATCAATGTAAATATGGAAATTCTTTAGGACAAAAATCAGAATTGTGGTCAAGCTGGCATACCTGGCAACCCCCATGGCCATCATAGACACCAAAGAAATGGGCAGTTAAGTGACTTGGGTTTTGATTCATGCCATTCAAACCAGAGTCATCCATTAGCATCTGAATAGGAATCTTCAAAAATCGAGGTACAACGGCAAGATCATCTTCCATCTCCGGTCTCCTTCCACAGATAGATGTGTAACCCCATAGGGGTACTCGATCCAAATCGAAAACTTTCTGACTGCAGCTTGTTCTACAAATTTTCTTATCCCTAGTTGCCGAAATAAGCGATGTAGAGGCATCAGAAGTAGTACTAGATCCATTGCCAACCTCACATGATGGCCTGAACTTGTTGTACTCCTTACTTCCCCAATCAATATTTTCATTAGAAATCTGATCACCCACATATCCCGCAAGCATATTCGACACAGTGGCTTCTACTCTGTTTTCATCATGTGGACCATTGCTTCTGTAACTTTCATTTCCACAAGAAAAGGACTCACAAGGTGAATTTGCTATTAGCTTGAGGCCAGTCATTTCCATTTGGATTTTTACTGCTGACTCTTCATGGATCAAATTACCTAGCCTATATGGAACCGCAACTGCCTGAGCTATCTCCTCCATGGATTTCCTTCACTTGGCAGTAACAACCGTCACCTTCCAAACCCTCTTAAACTAATAAACTTGCTAGTCTGCAATTACTTTCTCTCTCTTTTCAAGTGTATTGGTTAAAAAGAACAAAAAATCAAGAACTGTCTTCAGTGAGAATGAGAAATAAATCTTTCTATAATCTAATACAAATATCATGAACATTTAGATGCCTATGACAATTATTTTGGGATTAGAAACAACTAAACTGAAATGGGAAATTGAATTTGATTTGCTAAATTGTTTTAAGTTTCCACTTTGTGGTAATATTTTAAAGAATATGTTGAAACTACAAACTATAAATAGAAAAACTTTAGGCCCCTTTCAACCTCTTCCAACTCTCTGGACAATCATCTTTGGACCCTTCTCTATCTACCCTCCTCATCAACCACATGAAAGAAAGAATAGGACAAGAACTAAAGCCTTCTTTTTCTAACTTTTTACCAACCCATTGATCATAGGAAAGAAACAAAAACAGTGCTTTATGAATTTGATCAAATGAATTGAATGTGAGATTCACTGTCCTATTTGCAGCCAGCACAATAAAATGCTGCCAGATAAAGAAACTCAGAACAAATACAGAAACCCAGAAAGGAAAATCATTGAAAACTTGAGTTCCCTGGATCAGAGGCAACTCATTTCAGCCTCTTGAAATTTGGGTTTTCTCTCTCCTATGTAACTTTCATGTTTTTTGAACCAAACCAACTCCAACTAACTACATCAAAAGCAGATGAAAAGTAAAGCTGACTCACCAACTACTTTATCTGATCGCTCAACTATTCTGAGCTCCCAAGTATACTTCGATCAACTTCTGGAAACAAATCAAAAAATAATACACACACAAAAATAAGTAAAGGTGTTTGATGAGTTTGCTCACCGTTTTTCTAAACTGTACATGCAAATTTGGTGTTGCAGAATAAGGAGAAATGGCCAAGAAAAACCGTAAAAGGAAGGTGCAATGTTGGACATATATAACTTGGAAAAATTTGATCAGAGAAACACACGTGTTCACAATATGTCAGAGAACGGAATTAAATTAACCAAAGCAAGGCATCTACGCACCTACGTTATCAAGTAAATAAAAAAATTAAAAAAAAGTGGGCCTACAATATCTCAACATGTAAGAATCATATCTTTAAAAAGAAAGAAGAAACAATATAAGACCATTCCATGGAATTTCTTTGCATATAATAATAATATATTTTTTTTTTTTTTTTTTTTTTTTTTTTTGCTTCCCCACTATTTTAGCATATTCATAAGACACGTACACGAAAAAATATATCTCTATCTTGAACGATACGACCGTCAACCATGATAAGACCATGAGGCATTTTAGCTAGCGACTAGAAACTTGTCGCGTCATGAGTGGTTGGTTAGAGGGAGTTTGGAGTGGCGGAGTTGGAGTGGAGTGTAGTGCCATCCATCTTCCACTTTTAGAGAGACAGATGGATCATTACATGCATGATACACCTCTCCGTTCTCAAACTCTGTGTCACATATTCACTGAGAAACACGGATAGAAAAATCCAGTACCAATCTTGTGGGATTCTTTTTCTTTTTTTTTATTTTCCCATGAATTTCGTGCCAAAAAAGTCTCATGCAACCAACCTCTCACCTGTGGACGCGTGTTGCCAATCATCCATTGGGGCCGACACGCAAATCCCCCAGTGTTCTAACTTGTCTCACTAAGTTAAGATGAATCCGCGGAGCTAAGAATTTTATTTTATTTCTGGTAAGAGCACAACAATTTCAACACATTTTTGATCTAGAAATGATTGATGTCGACCGTACAACCCAACTCACACACTGCATCTGCTTTTTCTATAATTGCAAAAAATGACGTGTTTGACCGAAAAATAGAAATCCACAAGTCTCGTACTAGGCTTCTTGTCTTTGAGCCTTAAACCTGGACCATGACGCATGGGCGATTAGGCCCCAAAGCTTGGGCCCTGAGCCCAAATATCCTCACCACCACATCAGAGTTGTGGACAAGATATTTTATATCTTTTTCTTTTCTTACCATTTTGATGAGAACGACCGTGGCCGCCACCACGGCTCGAGACCAACCATAATCCGTCCGGCCCCAACAGGCCAGCCATGCATTGCCTAACAGTGCTGGTCAAGTGAAGCCATCCATGGCTGGCCTCCGAACACTAGCTGCCAACTTTTCATTGTTCTTTCAAGAAAAAGTCCTGTTCTTCAGCGTTCAAAGTAATTTAAGCTGGGGTACTTTTGTAATTTAAGCTAGAATATAGAGGCACCCTCTGCCTGAACAACTGTAGAAAGAAACACTAGTGTTAAATGTGCACACCAGTTCACCTTTGTAATATTTGAAAACCTGGCCATATATGTATACATACAAGTAAAACTTTGGGATGGAAAGATAGGGTTGATCAACTCAGCACTTTGAACAGAACACAAATTTAAGGCCACCAACAGTAAACTACAAGAACGAGTATGAAACTGCTAAAAGCAAGATACTTTCAGAGGGAGACCTGTGTAACGCGGTGAGTATGCAGTATTGACCTTGAAAACTATCTGCCAAAGAAATACAGCTTAGGCTGCATGCGCCTTACTTTACATATTTATGATAATCCTGATGATTATATGGGAGACGCTTGCATAACTAAGGCAACTAGTTAATACAATTCAGGAAATTGAGCATTCATCAACACTGGGACTACAATAGAAAGTGTACAATGTCCTTGAAAGTTCTGGTATTCCTCTTCAAACATTATTACTAATGAAAAAGAGAAGATTGAAAAAAGCAACATCGGGAGACAATTAAATAGAAGCTTGTGAGATAAATCCTTAATCTTAAGTAAACATTATTCTGAAAAAAGAAAAAAGTAAAAAAGTAAACGTTAAAAATGGGTTTTGAAGTCTTAAATGCACTGAAAATAATCAAATATATAGGGCATCAACTAAAAAAGGGTATAACACAATTTCAAGTTTCATACCAAATAAAACCAGCGTCAAGTGAGGCACAAGACACAAGTCAAGCCTGGAGGAGTGAGCTAAGCATCAAACTTGATATAAAAAAGCAATAAACCTCGAATGAGCACCAATGCCAGGTAAAAGCATAGAACCAAGAGTTTCTTGTAAACTCAAATCAAGTTTCAAAAGAAATTCAGAATAAGGTTGGTGAGTAGCTATAGGCTTAGGAATAACGGCATACCTTAACCGTTTGAAATCAAGGTCCACAAAGAAGCACTTAGAGATGACGTATAAGCCATTCTTTCGAGGTAAGGTATATCCTGTCAAAAAAATGGACTAAGTCCCACTCAATTGAAATCTACAGAAAATGATGTATGACTAGTAGCAGAACAAAAATGGGGAAATAAATTTTAACTATCAGTAAGCCTTACCAATATACACACCAAAAGTAAAAGAAGGTCCGCCGGAAGTTGAATTTGAGAGGACAAAAACCTCAAGCGGTCTTGTGCCTGGATGTGTACCAACGTAATTGCATTCACTACTTCATATTTAGCAGTAGACTGAAGATCTCTGTAGAAGAATCATAAACCAATAGACAAATAGAAGGCGAAACTTCTAACGATGAGTTTGCCAGCTAGAGGATAACACATTGAATTAAGAGCTGATTTTATTAGAAATAATAAAATGTATGTACAAGAGGACATCGTTCTCTGATTTGTAACAGCTACAGGGAGGATACAGTGTTTTCTAAGATATAATAACTAAACCATACTAACTAGTGCCTTGAACAAAAAGATCTTTACAGTCAAAGTCACCAACTTAATACAGGAGCAAAATCCAAAACATCCGAAAGGTTCACTCAAAATTCAACTTGTGCAGGAGCCTACAAAAGAATCTATATAACCTAACTGTGGACCAATAGCCAAATGACTATGCATGTAGCTGGAACTGGATAGTCAAATGACTATTCTTATCACTGGTCATTTCTTGAAACAGCAATTTTGTTTCATTAGTCAATAGTATAATGAACAAGACTATACAGAGAAGCAACTTCAAACCATCATATTTAAGTCTGAGAGGTCATCCATTGGAATTTCAAGACCCATGAAATCTTGATCTTGTAAACTGTCATCATCAATATTCAACCACGAACCCAAATCCTGCCCTTGGCCATCAATATCATCAGGGACACCTAATACATCCATTCCCGGTAATTGCAGGTGAGACAAGTCAATGGACTCAGGGTCATCAATTGCATCCAAGGCAAACTCATCCTTCTCTTTGGTATTGCCGCTGGTAGTCATTTCACCTGATTTTGATACAGAAGGCAATGCTGGTTTGGGTTGCTCCGACATCTTGCCAAGGAGGCCATTTACTGAAATAGATAGTTGAGTTGTTTTCTGCTTAGGCTTCGTTTTTGTTTTCCTTTCCCCCTTTACATTCGATAATGCTGGCCGACCAATTTTTGGAGTTCCATTTCTAGGTAACACCTCCCTGTTGTGCCCCTTTCCATCTCTATCCCTCTCACTCCTCTTTCCTTTTGCACTGCTAGATAGAGAACTTCCAATAACCGACGGGACATTTGAAGTTCCAATATTACTACCTACATCATCAAGTGACAATTCCCTCTTCTTCACCCTGTTTGACCACGTCTCTTCTCTAGCAATAGCTTGTTCAGACAGGTGATTTAAAGGTGGAAGCACATCCGAAGATATGACATTATGATTATCAGCATTCTGACTAAACTGTGAATGGCTTTGCTGGGAACCCACGGAAGCTGCAGAAGAGATGAAAAAAATATTTGAACGAAGGAAAATCACAAAGAAGAGGAAGAAAATATCCAGACTGCAAAGTCCTTTGTGCCTTTATGAAACTGATTACACAATTAGTAAAAGAACACGCATAGGAAGATATATGGAACAGAAAGCACATTCCCAATATTTTATTCAGAGGCATAAAAAGAAATACCCGAAACTTTGGACGCGTATGGTTTGGTGGATTCACCCTCTGCAATAGCCTCTGATTGTCGCAAGCCATTA